GAATATAAAGGTTGTTGTTAGTTATATGTTATATTTCCTCATGCTCTGATGACCACTCAAATGTACTCTAGGTGGAGTGAGAACCCCACCAGTATAGAATAACACCTATATTAAAGATTAGAACCGATTGGCATCACATTTTTGTTGTTTTTAATGTTTTAAAACAGCTTTACAATTTAAAATGATTTTATGGATCTTTTAATTTTTGATAACCCAGAGTTGAAGGATGGATTGCTATATAAGTGCTTTAAATGAAATAAAATAAAAATGCTGCAGTGATTGCTAATAGTCTTTGGGACACAATTCAAAGGGCTAATTGTTATCTTTAAAGCTCCACACAGAGCAGGACTGGAATTATTTCAGGTAGCGCCTTGCTGGAATTGAACATCCTTGTCAGTGCAGAAAGTAAGGATGATGTTCCCAGAGATATTGTCATGTGGCAGGAAATCAGAAGTCTAGGCAGTTCAAATGAATATAGGTTTAATGTATGCTAATGTTTTCCTCAAGAATCTGAACTACTAATGGTCAAAACAAATTGGCGGTAGATAACAGTCAATGGAATTCAAGGCAGGCTGGACTTAGATTTCTTGTGGGCATGAAGAGACTCAAGATTGATGATGCATTTGATGCTTCCCTCAGGCTCAGCCTAGTCATCTCCTACAAATATGGAGGAACCGTTACCTAGGTAATGAGGACCGAAATATTGTTTAAGGCCTGATGAACAAGTTAACATTTGGATGTAGCTCAGGTAGATACCTTCTTGATTCACTAAGGTATACGTGCCGGGGGGGGGGGGGAAGTGACTAGCAAGGTTATGTATGATTTGAAATGTCTACAGGCCAGTATCAATAAATGTAATTCCAGTTTCTTGAGAAGTTAATTTATTTAAGAGACTTATATGGTCATGAAGCATAAGTGCCATAATTCCAGGTAGCTAACAACAGCAATAAAAATATAAAAGAGATAATAAAATACATTGTGTTGCCAAGACAGCAGGTCTACTCTCTGATATCTCTAGTTTATGAAATACTTTCTTCCCAGAAATATATATACTGCACAAGCAAGAAAGAAAGCTGTGAAAATATCTACAGACCCCTCACATCCAGGACATAAACTATTTCAACTTCTTCCCTCAAGACAACGCTATAGGGCAGTGATGGCGAACCTTTTAGAGACCAAGTGCCCCAAACTAGCCCCACCTCCGCTCCACCCCCTGCCCCACCCCTGCTCCACCCCCACCCCGCCTGCCCGCAGGACCACTCACCGCCTCCAGGGCCCGCCGCAGATCACCCAGGCAGCCCAGCAGCACCATGGCAACCATGCCCTCTGCCTGCGCCCCGCAGCATCAACTATGCGTGATGGGACGTGAGGGCAGAGTCTTGTCTACACTGCCTGGCTGCCATGTCCTTGGCTGCGCTGCTCCGCATGGGCCACGCTTGGGGGCGACTCTCCTCCAGGGAGGCTGCTGGTGAGGAGGGGCTCACGGGGGGAGGCAAGGCTGGGGCAACGGCACGTGTGCCCACAGAGAGGGCTCCGAGTGCCGCCTCTGGCATCCGTGCCATAGGTTCACCACTGCTGTAGGGCAGTGCACACCAGAACAACTAGACATAAGGACAGTTTTTCCCCCCATGCTGTCACTCTGCTTAACAACTAATTACTACAACATTGTCAAACTACTTAGTAAAGCTGTATTACTATGATACTCATCTTTTCTATTACCTATCTTTATCTTATGGTTATAACTTTGTTGCTTGTATCTTACGATTTATATTGTTTTTAGTATTCTAGTATGATTTATGTTGTTTGCTTAGCTAGTACTCTATGACTATCACTAAGTGTTGCATCTTATGATTTATGAAGTGTTGTATTTTACAATTTATGATGAAAGTATTTTCATATTGTTTATGATCATGATTATCACTATTACCTGTATGTACACTGAGAGCTTATACATCAAAGACAAATTCCTTGTGTGTTCAACCACACTTGGCCAATAATGAATTCTATTCTATAAGCCAGTTCCAGGCTGCAGGTATATATATATTCATTAGTGTCATAAGCATTTCAATGACTATGTCAACATTATGTTACATTTTCAATGATTTAAAAAACTCTTTGATTTAGAAAATCTTAACTTATATGTAACTTCTGAAAAAGATACACAGTTTTGTAGAACTGTTTTGTACAATGTTTTCAAAATGGCATCTATGTCATGCTAAAGTTCTTATTGGAGGATCTCCTACCTTTAGTGGATTGGTTTAAGCACTTAAAACGCAATGTTTTCTTAAGTCTGAGCTTGATTTGGGGGGTTCATGGTCATATCCAGATCATTTTTGTAGAAATAAAACAAACATACACTGTCATCTTCTCGGATGTGTTTTCAACTTCCCAATCTAGTTTACAGCTTGGATATTTCCTACTAGCCTCCCATCTGTGTACCAAGCAATTTTGATTATTTAAAGCTTTATGAGATTAAGCAAGATCGGCTGGGGGCTGGAAACTACATTTCAAGATATAGGCCAAGTTCACTTTGACTGCATAGAAAAAAGTTATCTTGAAAGAGAAAGAAAGGGAAAAGGCTAGGAAAATAATCTGCTCTATTGAACCAGGGAGGAAAATGTAATAGAAGATGACAGTAGTCTTCCAGCAAATACTTGCAGAAAGCAGAGAAATGCTCTCACTAACAAGATATGTGTTATTTGCATTTAAGCTTCTTTCTCATCAGTAGAACCAAGTACATCAATATGTTCTGCATCTTGTGAGTGAATATGGAGAGAGGAACTAGAATACACCCACACACACTAATAAAAACAAAGGACAAGTCAGGAGGGGGCAGAAATGGGATCAATGGAGTCAAAATGACATGGCAGTTTGTGCAGTAAGAAACAGCTGATCACAGGTTTCCTTGTCCAAGAGTGTCATGGGAGCACCAGATAAAACTGTAAATAAGATACAGTGAAGAAGAATGTCTAAACCATTTTCCACTGCAAAGGTATGTTAAGACTAACAATACCACTAGCAAAATAAGTCCCTTGTTATATAACTGAGAAAAAAGTATCACCTGCTAAGTCTAGGGTTGATTAATAGTAAACAAAGGAAGCTTAAAAGGAATCTTGGGATACTTACTTTTTCACTGCAACCGAGCTATTTGAAATCCAGAAGACCTCTTTATGTCCCTATGTCCCAATTTGATAAATCTGCTGGAAATGCAACCACGATCGGAAAATACTTGACAGATTTCTGTCTAGAAAGCAAGCTATTGGATACTATACTCCAAAGCCTAACTCACAGTGCTTTGGAGCAGTCTTCCACAGCTTGGTGCTTTTTAGATATGCTGATAGTACAATTCTAGAAGCCTTAGCCAGTCTGACTCCTGAAGGTAGTTGGCTGGGAAAAGCTGTTCTAGAAAAGCAGGAAAAGGAGAATAATAATAACATTCCACTAAATAGTATTTAAAATTGAAAAAATAAATGGAAGAAATTCTAGGTGGTTTATTAGGCTGGGAGAAGGAAAAGATGATGCTAGTAGAGAGAATCTGATATCAAGAGCAAATCAAGGGCAGGAACAAGAACTCTGAGGAAAATAAAAGGATAAATGATCGGTTTTAACATCACTACATTCTCCAAATGAACATTAACTAGCCTACAGAAGAATGAATTTAGATCAAATACAACTCTTATGTTACTGGAAACCACTTTAATATGGTATTATAGGGAACCTCTGTCTAAACACCAAACTACTATCGGCAAGATGAGAAGGAAACATGGATGAAGATAGGAAGGTAAGTATATACACTCATAGAGAAATTAATACAAGGTTTGCTGCAATAATTCATGACAACAATGACTCTTGTATTCATTTATGGGTAAGTGAAGCACAAGTGCTAGTAACTACAGTGAGAAGAATTGAAGGTGTCCCAGAGGGAAGGAGTTTCAGTAGAATCAAAAGGAAAACAACAGCAGAACATTTCCATTTTATTGGTCTTCTTGTGACAGGGGCATCAAACTGTATTATAAGCATATGAAGAAAAAAGCAAGAACATCTGGGAATGCATAGAACCTATGCAATATAAATATAAAGCACAAGTCTGTACTATTCCTTTTTCCCCCTACGGTGCTTGGAATTATGGAAGTTCATTATACTAGCAATGATACATTGAAGCATTATTCCATTTAATTTCATTTAAAACTGCTGTTCATGCATTTCTTTACTATAAGTTGAAACCTTTTAATCAAAAGAATTTTTTTTTTCTTGAAACAATTCTTAAACAGGCTGTAACATTTGCTAATAGGCAAGGCGGTTTGGTAGAGCGGTTAAAGTACCAGGTTACTTAAGACAATCTGTGATCTTTTCTATGCCGTGACAACACCCATAAAGAAAACAATCCTTCATCTGGAAGTCACATTCTAGATTTCCACATCCAGACGCACGTCAAGGCAACCTGCTTAGAAGCACTTGCTATTAATTCCAGTAATTCAAACACGAATTCAAAAAATCAGAATTAAAAGCTGTTCCAGCGGTTCACTGCCTCCAGAGAAAGCATGTGTGTGGGGACGTGAGAGATTCACTGCAGAGCAACCAAGCAGGAGTAAGAAAAGCTGAAGAGGAAGTGCTCATCCTAAAAAGACAACAGAAAGAGGATCAAGTGCAAGGTTTCTGGAAGGCAGTCACAATGACAGTCTCCAAAAAAAAAAAAAAAAAAAACCAAGTTCGGCGGCAGAGAACCTGGTTAGGGCTCAACTACTCGTTCCTACCCCTTGACAAGTGAAGACCGCGCGGCCCTAAGACAAAGGCCTTTTTTTTTTTTTTTTAATATAACGGCGCTGTGGTCTAGCGCTGGAAGAGCGGCACTCTGCTCAGTGACGCTCTCATTGCAGGGGGCGAGGAGGCGGGAATCCACAAGGATCCGCTCGCCTTGAACACAGGCGATCCACTCCGCCGACCGTCAATCAGCCCCCGGCTGAAAAATTCTGCCCGGCAAGGAAAAGAGCGAGAGTTACCTGTATTTCCTGAAGAGCTGGTCGGATTCCCGGAATCCGTTGTTGAGCAGCATATTGATTCCCGCCAGCGCTAGCTCGGCGTCCTCCAAGGGCAGCGGCGCTTCTCCGGTGCCGCCGTCCTGCTCGGACCCGGCCATGGTCGACCGCAGGTGGGAGACCCACCCAGCAGGCTCCTGCCCGCTGCGTGGCGCTCCGCCGCTCGGGGGACCCTGGAGCAGAACGAGCCACCCCGGCGTCGAAGCAGCTCGCGCCTTGCCGCTCCTTCGGGCACGGTCCGCCGCTCCACGGCTAACCGCTCCGGGAGCACCCGCAGCCGTGGCCAGAAGCCCAACCGCTGAGGAGAGACCTCGCCACCTTCGAGCCAAAGCTGGCGGCTGCCGCTTGCCGCTACCAGGGCGCCTGCGCGGGAGGGCAGGAGTCTGCGCGCTGCCAGCTCTGAAGCGGCTGCCCTGAGCGCCGGCTAGGTTGCTCGCTTCAGAGCGGCTGCCCTCTTCTCCCCGGGGAGAGGTCTTGGGCGGGACCCTATTGTGCGCTCCCGGTTGCTCTTCCTTCGGGGAACGAAGGAGGTTTTTTCAATATAAAACGTGGGCGAAACGAGACGGCTTACTAAAAACCCAAAGCAAGACGAAAACAGTACGCGGTCCATTTAAGGCAGCATAGTAGGTAATATGCAATTAGAGAACCAGTTTGGTTTAGTGCTTAAAAGCACCTGTCTAGAAAGCAGGAGACTTGAGTTGCAGTCCCGTTTTAGGCATGAAAGCCGGCTGGGTGACTTTGGGCCAGTCACTCACTCTCAACCCACGAGGCTTCGGCAACAAGGTCCCTGTCGCCACCAATGGATCAACACTCGGTGGATCCGAAAAGCAGATCCTCTTTTTACGGGGAAAAAGGTTGGAAGACAAAAATCGGGTAATGAACAATGTGATTACAATCGTACAATCCTGTCCGAAGTTTCAGTATGGAAATACTTTGCTGCTACGAGCTTTGGAGTTATGTCCAATCCGTTCTAAGCCACGGCGATGCCGCTGGCCCTACGAGTCATTTATCTAAAGCCGCGTTGATGGGAACTGAAACTGTCATCTCCCACGCGTACCTGAGACTGAGTCCTATTGAATTCACTGGGGATTTCCACTAGCTTCATAACTAACATAGGACGTATCATTCTGACTTTGGAAAGGAACAGCGGAAAGTTGAGAAACACTGAGTTATGCGGCCGGGATTTTTTTTTAAAAAAAATAATAATCTGCCGCATGCTTTATTTATTGAGGATGCTCAGTGGCTTTATCGGTGAGAACAGCAGTCAGATTTATCCTGCATCCCGTTAACGTTTCAAGTCGGGTTCTTAAATTGCTAATTGGTCATTTTATTACTGTTTTAACCAATACAAAAGTTCTTTTACGTAATGAATTGTTGGGTTTTGATATTCAATAGCAAAAACATTATTACTGTTTAAAGCTAAATCAACATTTTTAACCGGTCCTCTTTCTGCACTTTTAAAAAAAAAAAAAAACTATTTACAAATTTTAAAAAGATCAATGCACCAAAAATATTCAATAGATTCCTGAAATATTTTTGCAAGGCTTTGCGTACTGTAAAATCTCAAATGCTTTTTGTTTCTTCCCATGTCAGACATTTGTTCATGTGATTGTTGTCAGTTCTAAATAAAGTACAAATCATCTCAAGATGTAAGCTAAGAGTTTATTTTTAGTCTGTTAGAGTAGAGATAAATTCTAAAAAAAATGGGCTTATGTTTTTCATTAAGCTATAGTTAGTGTGCTTGTTCCTGCCACAGCATACTGTGAGAATTCAGCTGCTGTGCTTTGTAAACAATTGCTACCGTAATAGTTTTATTGTGTTTTGCCAACCCAGCCAATAAACTATGATCAGACAAGCCATGCGCTGAATTCACTCATGGTTTCATTTTTCTTATTCCTTACCCTTCTTCCAGAGACATATGCTATGGGATATATAAAAAAAAAAGTCAAGATTACAGCCACAACTGTGCAATTGAAGCCCCACCTCTTTTAAAGTGCATATATTGAAAAGGACTGTTTACAATGACAGAGGCACAGGTAAGAAGATTCCACAACCAATTGCACCCTGATTTTCGGTGACCCTCAGGATCCAGATAAACTTCCAAGCTGCCTCAACAGCTCTCAGAGTGCTAACAACCAGATGACCGCAAAGATATACAATCCTTCCACCACTGTTGCCATCCTGTCAGAATTTCCATCCCCCTCGATCAGAACTGATTATGCTTCTTGGATGAGAAGCGAAATGTTTTCTTCTTCTTTCTCAAGGAAAAAACAGCCCAGTTGCCTTTTTTTTTTTAAAAAAGCACCTTTGAGACATATGTTCTATCTTGCTTTTTTTAAAACATTTCTTCTCTGTTCTTCATTTAAATTGGGAACACTATAGTGATATTTTAATATTTATCACATAATTTAAGGAAGTATTCTTTATAGAATCATAGAACTGGTCCGGAACATTTTCCCAAAAGCAAACAGTAATTTCACCGTTTGCAAAATTCATACTCATAAACATCCCCCATATATGGCATTTGTCTCAATGCATGTTTCTTCAGAGATTTATATAATAGATCAGGGCAATACTATTGGGCCAAATTCAGGTCCTTGGGAAAGACTTGATATGTGCATAAAAATGCCAAATCTAATCTAAACATCTGGCTGACTTGTGACCAACCATAATTTATTAAAATTCTATGCCATTCTATTCTCAATGACTCCAGGAGGCTCACATCAATCAAAGAAATTATGATAAAATCAATAAAAATAAAGATAAAAGATGATGAGCATGATGAAATGAAGTATTTCATTCTCCCCAATGAAGGCCTGGTGAAAAAATGGAAAGAATAATAACAGCTGGCTACAGAAAATAGGAGGAAATTCTAGAAGCTCCTTGAAGACTGGAATTCTCATCTAAGGGAATCCGTCCACTTGTCAGCTCTGAAAGAGAAGCTGAGTTGCTAAATAATTGGTTCAGATTTTTAAGCCCTGGCTTCATGTCATCATTTTATGCTTCTTCAAGACTTTGCTTAAGGACTGATTGGGTGATGAAAGAACAATGATTTAAAATGCAAAATCCAGTTATTAATTCTGAATTGTGCTTGATGATAGGCAAACATACAGCTTTGGTGGCAGTTGGTAAGCAAACACTGGGACAAATCCGATTGTTTTTCTATCGGTGAAACTGTAGATAGTATATTGGAATAATGGGAAAATGTGCAGAATTCAGTGACAATGCTCAAGCCATTTCCAGATATCATAGCAAATAGATTCAGTATCTGGTCACTGACCACTGGTACTGGTTTTATATGCATATTATATACAGAATCAAATTAGGCAGGTTGGGATGGAGGGCAGCAGACATAATAAGGGACATGTATCTCTAGACCAGGGCTAGGCAACCTTGGCTCTTTTATGACTCGTGGACTTCAACTCCCAGAATTCCTGAGCCAGCATAGCTGGCTCAGGAATTCTGGGAGTTGAAGTCCACGAGTCATAAAAGAGCCAAGGTAATGTAGAGATTACACATTATAGCATCACCTGAGAATTGAACAGTCCAGGTTTATTGGCTGATTCTCATAGGGAAAACTACTACAAGTTTATGGTAGGAATAAAATATGGGGAGACTCCATTTATTTCATCTTGAGTTTCCAGAGAAATAATTCACAGTGTCATAGTTTATACTATTGCATCCCCAACAGATAGCCATATAGCCTCTGTTTAAATATCTCCAGTGAAGAGTCTACCACCCTGCCAATGAAATCTATTCCATTACTAAATGGCTGTTACTATTAGGACATTTTTTTTTGTCCAATCAAATTTCTGATAATTCCTTGTAATTTAGACACCTTATTTTTGCTCTGTCTTATATACAGGAATTCTACTTTCAGTTCGGATGAAGAAAAGAGAGGAGGCTATTCAGTGTATGTGTTCTTTATGTATGAACAAGTGCTTCACCCAAATTGTGAAAACAATTTTCATGCTGCAAGCCAGACATTTTCAAATGTAATATGGTAGCCCTCTGGTACAAATATATAATGTATTGATTGATATGCTATCTTTGATGTGATTGTTTGGCCCTTGACATTTGGATGGAATGTAAATTACCCTGCTGTAATGGAAGTGACAGATACATTTTGGGAGCAAAGTATTCTTCAAGGCCGGTTCCACTAACACTGATGCTGAATTTATTTTTACTCTTAGCCTTTTTATAACCACACTGACTGTTGTTGATACTATCATTAGAGGCTGTGAACATCAGTTGTGGTACATCCAAAAATAAATAAGTAGGTGTCCTTTGGGGAAAGCTGTAGGAACTCTCTTATAACAAATACAAGATCTTTTTAAGTTTATGGAATTATTTCATCTATTTGATCCATTGACAAAGATCAAAGGAAATACAGCAATAGAATATAAGATAATAAAACAAGTTGAGAAATAAACATACTAAAACAGCAGAAGTTAATGACAAACATTATATTCTTCTGCATGAAGCATAAAACCATCCAGGCCTAAACATCTAACAGTAACACTTAATAGCAATTTAAACTGGGGAAAATATGTCAACTTTTGGTATTTTGTGAGGTTCTTAGCTATCTTGCGCCTGGCTACTTGCTTAGATATATTTTAATGATTTTTGTTATCTTCTCCTCTATACATTGTTGAGGCCACAGAATAAAATATGAGAGGGGGAAATAGGTCCATATTCTTTCAAGTGAGGAAATGCCCTTGAAAAAAGAGCTAAATTCTTCCTCTCCCAACATGTCAAAAGTGGTCACATGTGGCAACTTGAAGTAAAAGTATCAGACATTTTCCATAAGCCACCCAAAAATGCTATCTAAGGATTGTCTTCTTCTAGAAAATAATATGGTACCAGATTTGCTTGACTACGGAAGGACTTTTTCTAGATTATTTTAATTTATAAACTTTCTTTTTTCATTTTTAAACAACTCCAGAATGGGCAAGCATGTTTCTTTCTGATTCTCATATATAATTTGAAGGCAATATCATTCTACAGATTCTGCTGCATGTACTTGAAAAAATAATAAAGCGTAGTCTATAATTTAGGGGTGAAACTGATGCAAGTGCTCATTTTATTCAGTAACTCCCCAAAGTGAAAGAATTTTCCTCAGCTAAATATATTAAATGTGCATCTTCAAACATAATAATTTTCATGAACATTTCAACAACAGCATTTTCTGTAGGCAGCAGAGCGTTAATGCTTAGAATAATCAGCTCAAGGCTTCTTGCTTTCATTCTGAAACTCTAAGCTTCGTATGACTATATTCTTCTGTTCTGGTATTAAAGAAAAAGCAGGTACGGAAGGCCAAAAGCAGCAGTAAAGCAGCAGCAGCAGAGAATGCTGGTTACAATTATTCCTCTCCAAATGGATTTACTAGTCAAAATAGATACAATGGCACTCTGTCCTTCATTCTCGGGACAAATGGCCTGCTAAGCTAAGGGAAAGAAAGGGCTTAAAAATATATAATGGGAAATTGTTAATCACTACATTCTGCTGGTTTTCTATTCCAGCACTCAGTTTTCCTCTCTGAAATGTATATGTAAACATCTCTGTGAGTAGGTGAAAAGCAAATATTAGCATGACTGATAATTAACTGTAGCAGGAGAACCTGCTAGAGCAGGGCTGTCAAACTCGCAACGTCACGTGACATGTCATGACGTATCGTGACTTTTTTTCCATTGCCGGCAATGGGGTAGGCGCGGTTTCGCCATGACGCATCCGGCCCGCAGACCGGCAGTTTGACACCCCTGTGCTAGAGGAGCTGGCACAAAAGTGTATTTTCTTCTCTGTTTGCAACTTTGAAGCATCACAAAATGATGGGAAATGTTAATTATACTTTTTCCAAATATTATTTCTAGAGCACAGGTTTCAGATAAAACTTTCCCCAGTTTTATTTGAAATTGGCAGTTTCAGTAGTTAAATAAAACAATTAGGAAATATATGACGTAGGGTAGAGAAGAGCAATGAGATTTCATTTTTTTTATATCATATGCCCTGACTTATGCTTCCTAAACTTGGATAGATAAACGGGTGCTCTCTAGGTCAGTTTTAACCTTGGCAACTTTAAGATGTGTAGACTTCAAATCCCAGATTTCCCCTATTAGCATATGGGTTGGGGAATTCTGGGAGTAGAAGCCCACACTTTAAATTGCTGGGATTGAGAAACATCAATCTAGATGTTTGTGGGGTTTTTGATTTCTGTCAGTTTCAGTCAGCATGGCCAATTGCAAGTACTTATGGGAGCTGTAATTCAAACTACTTTGAAAGATGTCTTGTGTTGCCCTAATGTAGCCTTATGTATTGAGTATATATGAAATAACATTCCCCTGCTAATCGTGTTAGGTATTATATATGTTATTAAAGGACGAGGGGAGGAAGCAGGATTTTATCCTCTACCTGAAACAACAAAATATGTTGGGCTGATCTTGACTGTCATTCCAAATCAGAAGAAACTTCATGCTGAACTTAATCTGAGGCTACAGCTGACAAATGCTGTAGCCTGCTTGAGAGAACATTGCTTCCAAAAAAGACATATCTGTTGTATTTGAAAAACAAAGCTGTGCATGATTTTTGCATCAAAATTTCACTGTTGAGCAGAAAAAAAATAAAGACTGAGAAATGCTATACTAAAGCATTATTGAATTCAAGTATTTTTAAAGGTTATAATTAAACAAGGTATTTAATACATATGTATTCTAGTCATAATCAAGTCCTCAAGACAATGTTTTATTCACTAGATTACTGAATGCACAGTTCCTTTCTAGAGTTAATAATTCTAAATAGAAAGACAGATGTACATATTGTGAGCAAATGTTGTCAAACCTCTGAGGCTTTTTCACCTGCTCCAAGTTTTTCACTCAGCACCATATTAATTTTGTTACTGCAAAAAGGCTGTCAGCATATTATACATGCACAAAGAAATGATAAAATTTTAAGAAAGCAATGAATCAAAGGAAAAGGAATTTGCAAATGGAATGTCTTTAATACTATTAAAGTGTATGCAAAAAATGAAGGCACTTGCTTTAACAATATCACTAATTAAGTGCCATCAAGGAGTTTGAACTCTCAGTCTTCAGTACTATTATTTATCAGATTCTAATTGTGACATTCTAGTAAGTGCATTAAGAGTTTATGATCTGTATACTGTAACAACGTGTTCAGATTCATAGGTTGCCTTATGTCAGAAGTGCATGATGGATTGAGTATTCAAGAATTATTATGTTCAAGACTAAATGAATCATTCAAGGGGAAGAAATCAGCAGAAAGAAATTAAGCAAAGGTTCCTGCTATGTATGTAATTTCCAAGAAAAGAGAATATTTGTATTTCAGGGCTGAAGCTGTATGTATATAATTGTTAGATTTGTCCATTTCAGCCATCTAAAGGGAAAGCTTGTTCTTTCTTTCTTGTTTCTTCCTTGATAATTTTTGTTTTCTCCAATCCAGAAATCAGGAAAGCTAAAGCAGAGCCCACATCTTTATAAGAATTCCAGTAAAACATCTGCAAAAATGTTTTTTGACCTGTCTTGGAGAAAATACAGATGGCCAAAGCAGTGTTTCAAGTACTCCATTAGAGTATTTGCAAGAACAAAATACTCTTTTTGGTCACCTTTCATTTTTCTCATTTTTAATTACAGGTTTCCTTATAAATGAAGAAACTATGCTTAGAGAGTTGATAAAATAGTCATAAAACCTTAGAAAAAGTTATGATGGCCAGATTTCATTGGATGAAACAAAAGAATGAGCAATCATAGAAAGGATTTGTTGCAATATTCTGTTGAATTTCCATAGCGTGCCTTAGCTATTGTAAATTTTCTATGCGCATTTGAAGCTTTTCTTATACAAGAGAAGAATATTTCAGCTGACTTTCGGAAGCAGGAAACTAGAGAAAAGGAAGCATGGAAAAATAGTAGGATGAATAATTGCTAGTTGCAGCTGCAAATAGACACTTGTTTAATGATACATTAGATGCATATGAATGTGTTTGTCCCCTTTTTTAGTCACCAGATGTTTGTATACATATTATACAAAGTGGAACAAGAGAAGAGGGCAGTGGTGATTAGAAAGCAAAAGAAACTGGTAGGGGCATGACTCTTTTATCTTGTGGTAAAATATAATGTCGAATTTCACTGCTATGGAGTGAACACATAGATCAGGGGTCCCCAACCAATGGTCCACGGCCTGGTACCAGGCTGCGGCCTATTGGCCACTGGGCCCCAGGAATAGCTGGCGAGCCCCGCCCCACTCACAGTAGCAAGAAACCCTGCATACAATCACAATCTAGGATATTTATAAATTGCTCAGCCAAATCATAAAATTATATTTTTTAAAAAGGCTTTTGATTGCAGATCTTGCAACTTCAGGTTGAGGCTCCCAAAGGATTAAATCATCTTTGTTTTCTTAACACAAGCAAAATATCTGTTCAATTATTGCTTTTATTGAAAAAACTAAATTATATAAATCTATCCTATACACTCATTGTCTTTATTCAGTCAAGCTTTTTGATTAAAGTCAATGGGTGTATGTAAGTGCAATAAACATACTGATATTTTCCAAAATTTTCCAAAATGAAAATTGCATTTATTTGGTCATAGAACTCTTAAGACTATCACCTCCATTATGCCACATTTTTAAAGTGCTTCATACTCAATTTATATTATTTTTTTATCAATTACTCAATACGTACAACAAAATAATTCAACAATTCAACAATGTATTTTATTTTTCCGCATTTTATCTGTGAAGTCCGGTTCTATTTGTGTTCAAGGACCTTCCAATTCTTTTGGGAGTTGTTTTCATTTCAGGAGCCTTAGAAGTCAGCATTTTGTCAATGAAATTGCTCTAAATATACTCAACTGTTGTTGAAAGCAGAATATCACCATATTATATTAGAAGGTCATTTTATATTTCAAGTGGCTTTTTCATAGACAGCTTGTACACAGGACAACAAAAGCTTCAAAAAACCTCAAAGAAAGGCAACACAGACCACAATTATGAAAACATACTTTTGAACTGTGATGGTAAACAAGGGCAAAAGACCAAAGAAAGAGATCAAACCATATTGTGGCTATCCATACAGCACATTAGATGACTTTATCTTCAGAAGATATATATGGAACAGTTAATAGACAGGACACCCTTCCAGGCTGACAACCCCATGAATGTTTGACATTTTGTTTAGTGAGATAGATTTGTCATTAATTTTCATATTCTTTAAACAGCCAAGGAACACATCCTGAATTGGAAGCCATGGTGTTTCCAAATTAACTGTAAAGACAAAGCATAAACATTGATTAAATATATAATAGACGAACAATTGGATATTGTTGAAAATAACAGTCTCTGAGAAATGTTAATATCTTTATTAACATATATTTGAATGAAATAGGCTGTTCTTATTTCCATTTAAAGCAAAATGTTAGTGATGCATAGCAGTGCTATTACCATTTCTTAAAATTTGCAATAATACATGTTAGAAGATATAGTCTGCTATAATATACATATAGGAGCCATTTCTCTGACTTAGTTTGGATAACATTGTGAAGAATTAATGAACAATGACAATGACGATGATGATGATGATGATGATGATGATGATGATAATAATAATAATAATAATAATAATAATAATAATAATAATAATAATAATAATAATAGTATAAAGAATGTGTGATACTAAATGTTTGAACATTTTCCAGAATAATTTTGTCATCTATTAATCAGTTGGAAGGTGACATTCAACAGCTTCTGGAAAGCTGTAAACTCTTCACTCATTCTTTGGTATATAAAGCCACATTATTCATTCTAATAACTAAAACATTATATTATTTTAGTTGATCTGAAGGGGGTTAATGCATATTTATACAGATAAGCACAAGGATGGGTTTCCTATGGCGAAGACAAGCATGATACGCATTTTGCTTCTTGTTTTTGCAAAGAGGACTCCATTAAGCTATATGTTCCACTCAAAGCTGATTTGTGAATATTTTCCAAACCTTGACATGTATAATTTCCAGTCTCCCCTGGTAACTAATATAAGAAGAAGATCCTCAACAGCAAAATGGTGGCTAAAATGATTTCTAATACAGTATGAAACAATTTCAGTGATAACATGGAAAGTCAGACTAATGGAATACCAGAATACCAGAGTTGGAAGGGACCCTGGAGGTCTTCTAGTCCAACCCCCTGCTCATGCAAGATACCCTATACCAGTGGTGGAGAACCTATGGCACGGGTGCCAGAGGCGGCACTCAGAGCCCTCTCTGTGGGCACGCACGCCATCGCCCCAGTCCTAGGCCTTCAGCTGGGTTTTATAAAACCTTTTCACTTTAGGCCTCCACCATGTGCAAAGAAAAAAAAAAGGTTCAATCAGTCAATTTGAACTTCTCGCGGGAAAAAAAAATCTTGCAAAGTTGGAATTGATTGATTGAACTTTTTAGTCCCACCCAGTCTGCCGTTACCACGGCAGCCACAATGGGCCACACCCACCCAGCACTCGACGATGCATAAGTGGGTTTTGGGTTGCAGTTTGGGCACTCAGTCTCTAAAAGGTTCGCCATCACAGCCCTATACCATTCTGAACAAATGGCTATCCAATCTCTTCTTGAAAACCTCTAGTGATGGAGCACCCACAACTTCTGGAGGCAATCTGTTCCACTGATTAATTGTTCTCAGTGTCAGGAAATTTCACCTTATCAGGTTTTTCTGGTATTTATTCTCCCAAATAATTTAAAGTGTCACCATCCAAAAGTAATCGAATATCCCAATATTTACAGTATAATCTTGAACCAGCACTTTAGGAAACTTATGGTACCTCTGTACATTGTTCCTTTCCCTACGTGTGCATACATGACAATAGCACTATAATTATATATGTCTCATTTAAAAATGTATGTAAGAGTTGCAAGAAATCCTGATCAATATTTAGAATGCATGGTTAGAGGGGACTGTAACCATTCTTCTGCTACACCTGTGCCCAAAAGATATTGTTCCCTGTGACAAACATTACTACAAGTTGCTTCAAATAAAGAAAAATAGACGCAATAAAATCTTGCTTCCTGATGCAAAATAGCTAGTTGAGAACAAGACCATATCTCAAAATGATAATAAAATTCCTGCTCTTGAGTTGTCTGGTTATTTCTGACCCTCAGTTCTTGCACATGTTTATTTTAAAAAAAAGATAATAAAATACATTCAGGCAATTAACAATGGATTTTGCTTTGATCATCAGAGAGATGAAAGTTCATAATGGATGAGACAGAAACTTAGCAGTTTTTAAATGAGTATTATCACAGTTACTTATTTTTCGTCCAAAACAAAGAAATCTCATACCTGGAACTCTTCCAAAATAGAGCGGCTGAGCATGGTTGGTAGAAAGCTTAGATGATAGTGCAGCAGTATAATTTCTGTTTGTGTCTACATCTAAGTAGATAATATTCTGCTTCTGAGAGACTATAAAAAAAACCAGATGAAAAAATCAGTTCCATATCCCACCCAAAACAGTAGATAGCTAGGTACCTACTTACCTACCTACCTACCTACCTACCTACCTAACTAACTAACTAACTAACTAACTAACTAACTAACTATAAATAAATGCTTTTCATTCAATTCTGTTTCTCAATGTATCTGAAAACAATTTGCTTTGTCACATTCTAAGTCAATCCCTTCAGTGATGGGCAAATGCAGTAATCATGAAATTAAGAGGAAAATTATGCTACACTTCATGAAATATGTCTCATATTTACATTTTCTACCTCCAACTTGCTCTTTCTCATTTATTTATTTTAAAAAATGTATATTGTAAGCCCACCTGCCTGTCCAACTCTACAACTACTCTTATGGAATTGGTTATATTTTTATCCTGCAAAACTCGAGTCTTGAACCTTTTGCAGAAAGAAGCTCATCAAGGAGAAATCTCAGGGATTTCTCCCTTCTCCCTTCTCTATTGCAAAATATTCCTTCCTCCAAAAGATAATTTTCAAAATAGAAAATAGAAGTTAGGCCAATATTATATTTAGATGACGTACAATGTCATTTGGTCTTTAATCACATACTTTTCTATTTTCATTTTTTCATAGTAATTTAAGTTACAACATTCATTTATTTCTCTATTATTTGACTGACAAAATATATCGGAAAACTATCGAGGATACATTATAAGGAAACAGCAAAAACAACTATATCAACTTTCATAAAACTTTGTTATGAATAGGCAAACCTCTAGTTGTCTTTAGGGATTACTTTGAAAGAGTTAAATTTGTCTCTCGGAAAAGAGCCTATACTTTTGTAAAGTTCTTTCACATTGACTTACACTTTGCCCTCTCCCTAAAGAGTGAATGAATGAAACTCCACCATACCTGCTACAGAATGCCACTGTCCATCGCACAGAGACTGCTGAGGTATGACTGACAGAGAAAACTCTCCAGCACCATTATTTCCAGAGGCAGTGAGCTGTGAAAAGGAGAAACCTTTTCAATTACTACCAACAATAAGAATACATTTAAATATAAAAATACACACAAGGAACACATCTTTGTCAGATTTTCTGAGCTTTACTAATATTATCAGTAGCTTTAGAAACAGACTGCTATTCTTCAGATTGCTATGCTTCAAGAAGGTTACCATCTCCTGAGAATTCCCCGAGAAAAGTTTTCTAAATTCTGTATTTCACTAACCTGGGATTTTTCAACTGGTTTTTCCTGGGTTGAGACTGCTAATTTTACTTGTCTCTGGTAACTTACAATAACACACATATAAGAGACTAAGCTAACTCGTACTGCCAATAACAGGGGGCAGTGATAGATTTTTTTATCAATCTCAGAAGCATTCACTCTTGAAGCATAAAACTCAACAATAATCTTTCAATATAATTCCATCCACATACTGTTTATAGAGCACCACTCTTCACCTGTCTTTTTTTTCGGTCACACCAGACATAATACTATTGTATGATTTGTGTACTGTGGCCCAATATCTCAGTTTGTAAAAGTAAAGAATATGAAAACCACACCTCCATAAAATTTCTATCTTTGGGGCTGATGGCTTTATCTGGAATGATGACTGCTTGTTGTAGGTATTCAAATAAAAGGACTGCTATGGAAGGCAAAGCTAATTACAAAATATTTGTTTCTCAAGGAGGCAAACTTTGAAGATTTTCTATGTCCTTTTGTCAAACTCCCAGGATACTTTTTACCGTTCCCTCTTTATTGTTTTCCAAATTCACCCTCTAATAAGGCCTAGGTTGCACCATTTCATTCTTTAAAGAATTCCTAAGGCCTGTGTAAAGCCAGAGGCATTCTAGGAAATAAAGTGATGGCGGGATTTCCTTTGTTCAATGCCAGCTTCCCAGCTTCCTTTTAAGTAATCAGATGAGGCAAAGGGTATAATAGGCACCCCAGCAATGTCCATTGATATGATCACAGCCAGGGCTTTTTTTCTCGGAGAAAAGGTGGCGGAACTCAAACCTGGCCACGCCCTCATCAAACCCTAGGACCGCCCCTTTAGAGAACAGGAATGCAAGTAAAATTTGGGAGGGGCTATTTCCGGTGCGGCCGGCCCGGAAAAAGGTGCCGGAACGCGGTTCCGCCGCGTTCCGGCTGAAAAAAAGCCCTGATCACAGCTATAAAAGATCCTCCAAAAGGAGATTCAATAACAAATGGTAGTGTACTTCAGGAATTCAAGACCAGAATAATTCCCTCCCTCTCAGTCCACAGCTCAATGTAACATTTAGATAAGGAAGAGAAAACAAGACAAAAATCATTCCTACCATGCCTCCTTCCATGTAAAGAGTTAAATAGTTTTCTTGACTGCTGCCCGCATGGATTAAAATGCCAGTGAAACTTCTTGGGCGGATGTTAAATGCAATCCTATATTCCATGCTTATTAAAAAAGTGTTTTCTGGAATTAAAAAGGGGGGAATAGTTTTGTTCAAAAGAAAATTAAAAGTATTACCCAGTTCCATACTGCTTTCCAGAAAAATTCTCTGAGTTGCTATTTAATAAAATAGAGAAGTGCTATGGATTCCTTTCTCTGTGCCCATGCACTATGCTCATGTGGTAGGATAACAACATACATACAGAATTTTAGATCAGAATAAATAACTCATCCTATTATACTCACCAATCATAATGTATCCCCCTTCGTTGAAAAATGAAACACCATTCTCCAAAATATTGTCCAAGCAAGGCAGGACACCATTATTTTGCTGGTAAGTATACATGTGTTTTCTCCCAACTTGAAAGTTTCTCAAGCAGCCCACAAAACTCTTCTCTGGAATATTCTGAAAATACATATACCCAATATAGATTGGAATAATAATATTATTACATACATTATATTACTACCATCACCCCATGTAGCCTACTGTATATGGTAAGGTACTAGCTGTCTAGCAAAATGAAGACAGTCCTTCTTAATGAAGAGCAAATTACTTCAGGTTGAGCAAGCCCTTGTTTAAGAACCTCCAGTGATTTGCTCAATAACATTATGAACACCACACATGAATAAAACATGCAAAAAATATTTCTGGAATATTCTTTGGATGAAAATCTGTAACTATGACATTGCTCTTTTTATTAGCCTAGCTTCCATTCTGATGCTACATAAGGTTTTGTGTGGCTATAAAGTACCTGAATGTGATTATTCAAAATTGGAATTGAGTTTATATATTATCATCTTCATTTCCCAGTGACAGTCAAGAAGGAAATATGACATGAGTATTATACTTTAGCTTTCCATTAATAACAAGGAATTGAAAGAGAAAAAGAAACATTTACTGCCTTGGCAATTATAGATAATCTGAGGTAAAAGTGTACATAACCATTTAAATTCATATTGTACAACTTCTCAATTTTTACCTGAATATTTAATGAAGGAACAGCTCCTAGATATATTGATGCATCAATCTGGGAATAAGGATAAGAAGATGGTAGGTTTCCTTCGCGAGTCTTCAAACCATCAATTATAAGGCGCATTTTCTTTTCATTAATGCTGAATACCACCTTTTCAGGAGAGAAACATAATCTTAAACCGATATCTTAAATGGTTATTAAGCAATACCTAATTGACCTTAGACTTAAAAAAACACATTTTAAAAATAAACGCAACAAACAAAAAAATAGCATGCTGTGGAATATTCACAGTGTACTGAAAGCAAAAACTATTAATACATTTATCTGTGTATTGGGTTTTGAGGCTACCTGATTTCAAAAAAGCTCTGGGAAGCTTACAATATTTAAAATACAAAACACAAGAAACATGGCTGCCCACACTGAACCACATCAGGAACATTTAAGAAACAGGGCACCCCAAATCCTCTAACACAGGGGTCCCCAACTCCCAGTCCGTGGACCAGCACCTGTCTGCGGCATGCCCGCAACCGGGCCACACAAACAAGCGAAGTCCCATCTGCGGGATGCGGGCAGTTTGCAAAACCACGCCCCCTCTGGTCCACGGAAAACCCTTTCTCCACGGCATCAGTCCCTGGTGCCCAAAAGATTGGGGGCTTCTGCTCTAACACCAGGCCTAGGAACAGAGCCAGGTCTTAAGAGACTTCCTTGGAGAGTGAGAGACATACATATCTCTAGGGTGGGCAGAGTTGCAACAGAGAACACATGTTCCTTTAGTCCCAACTAAAGGAAAGGACCAGGAGCATATCCACTCTGCCCCAGCATACTGGATAGGCAGAAGGAACTGGAGATAGAATAATGACTGGCAGCGTGGTTCCCACAGATACTTTTAAAGACAGTTTTAGAAGAGCGCTTGTACCTCAATGAAAACCAATCAATCAATCTCTAAATTTGCAACATAGACAGATTTTGATTAACCTATTTTTGAAAAAAAAAAGCCTAATTTTAATTATTTTTTTTAATAAAAAGATACTCATAACTACCGTAACTTTACAAGAAGAAATGTAATTGTGTCCAATAGTGAAAGCATTTCTGACTTCTGGTCTTGAGTGTCTAGACATGTGATACATTGATATACTCTAACAAAACAACTAATAGCTGTTTAGAAAAAGAAACACAAGCAACCCATCCTCACCGTATGCCACTGTCCATCATTGTATTTGGCTTTGCTCTTGATTTTTATTTTTTTTCCATCATAGGCAACTGCAAGGACATACCGTCCTTTTGAAAGATGAAGAGCAACATATCTGTTCCCCATCTGATCTCCCATGAAGAAGACCATTCCCCTAGACGATGATGTACGAACATCAACAGCAAAATGGGATCTTGAATATACAAACATATAAAAAATAAGAATCAGAGAAGGCAGAAAAAGAGAAAGCAAAGTGGAAATAGAATGTGTTTTACTTCTCATTGTTTTACTATTAATTCTCTGCTTCTATAGTTATCTGATTATTATTATTATTATTATTATTATTATTATTATTATTATTATTATTATTATTATTATTATTATTATTATTATTATTATTATTGTAAAAGATGGTTAGGGTTTGCTAAAAAATTATCCACTGAGATTCTTGGTTAAACAGACATTTTAACTGGCTGCAATCATAAAGTCAAAGCCACATTATCATAGAAATGATCAAATGCTATATATCTTTTTATATTACTTCTATTAAGCATAATTTGTTACATAAGGTAATCAGGAACACAAAACATGAGCTCACACAGCAACATGTAGACACATTGTGTATCACAATGAGACTAAATCTAGGACCTAGTTGCCAGCCGTCCCATATAAACATACACTCAAGTGTGTGTATAAGAGAGAGAGAAGAGAGAGAGAACATACACACATATGATCATGTATACATATATGTTATATATTCCAATGAATCAAAAGCTTGGACTTTATCTAAGGCTTAAATTTCAGGTACTGGTTTCTATTTGGAACAAAATAAAAATTAATCCCATTACCTGTCTGTTGATGTTTGGGATACTGTAAACAATAAATAAGTTCCTGGATTATTGCCAAAGTGGTAGGCTTCAGGGACAAATTTTAACCCAGCACGCGAAGGACAGTCATTCTTGTTCTGCTGTCTATTTGAATCTGTCAAATAGGCAATAGTTTTCCTTTTCTGGAAATAGAAATAATATATATATATATATATATATATTTAGAATTGACGATTCCAGGAATACAAGACAGAGGTTTATTAAGAGGGAAAATCATTTAGGATTATGTGTTTCTTATAATAATCATGAATTCACTTCTCCTTTAGGCAGGATGGGTAACAACTATTATTACTATTTGTATTACTTTACTTCTTAGTTCCTGTCACAGATCTTAAGACATTTTCACCTTTGAAAGAACAAGCTGTTCTCTGCAATACAAGTGGTGGAGGATGCTTCCCATCTCATTTAAATCAGTGCATAGATATAGAATACCTATTATATTGAATTATCTCTAGCTACTCTTCCATGAACTGCTAATGGAGATGCTCCCTTAATGTTCATAATTTGCTATTCATTATGGGACAATGCTGCAAAGAGCATTCTGAATATATGTGTCCTAATTGTGCAATTCTACCCCTATTAGCTGGTATTTAGGTTTACAAACTTTCACTATCAGCTGAAGATTTACTCCCTCTGAATTTTGCCTGAATTGTCACTGCTGCTGTTGTATTTTTTGACTGCTTGTAATTTTACATGGCCCTATTGTTTATTTTCTGTATTATTTTTCATGATAAAAATAGGTAGCAGAAAAATGAAAGCGTTTTCTTTAACTTCATTCCCAACCTTTGAAATCTTTGGATGGTGTGCATCTGGCAATTCTTTCAACAGCATTGGCTTTTGTCGTTCTGGAATCATACAGAACCCTAAAGACACATCTCTCTTAACAGAACCGGTTAAATTTTGAACCTGAGCAGGTAGTTCTGAACTAGTATGGAGATAAAAGAATAACGATACAGCATATTATTGTTTATATAAATTGGTTAAGAAAAAAACTTGCTGAAAGCAAAGCATGATGTGGATAAAGAAGGATGTAGGAATAACAAAAAAGGCTTATTTCAATATATTCAGAATAAAAGGAAAAGAATAAATGAACTAGCTGTTTATCTGAATAATATATTAGTGGCAAACTTGGAAAGGACCGTAGCTTGCATTTGAGAAAGGCATGGACAAAGTCCTGGACATTTTGAGTTTAAGTCTCCAGGACCAGAGTAGGACAAAGTATTTTTCTAAAATTAAATAAATATTTTTTTAAAAGAAGAAAAAAATCTATCTGGTCCTGGAGATTTAAACTCAAAGTAAATAGGTATAGACAAAAGATTAAGATATACTTAAAAATGTATTTGATGAGGCGATGCACTACAAATCACATGTATGTTGTACACGTTTTCCTGAATCACCTATCCTGGCAACTAGAAAACAGTAAGGAAAACAGAAGCAATATAAATGATAAAAAAATAAGGATGACTGACATTCTGCATAATATAGTCTTGTCTTCTTCCAATATGTTATGCTATTGTAAATTTGCTTGGTCATTAAAAACATCATAAAAATCTATATACCAGTAAAATTCTTGTGACTGTAATCTTTAACTGGTTGAAACAATACATCATAGGGCAAAACATTTTCAACCAAAGTACTTCAAAAGGGTTAAGTTACAGAATGCCAGGACTAATTATTCCCATTGGAGTGAAATTTTGGAAAGTTCTTGCTGTTTCAGTGTTGCTAGCTGCTACTGTATACCATCATTACCATAATCATCTGATCCTCATTTACAACATTCCCTAACATCTTCCCACAAGTCAATAGGGAAGCCTGGGAAACTTACAGGGAGAAAGGGTTCATGTGACTGCGGCTGATGGCGGCAACACGTTAGTGGATTTGGACTTGCAACTTCCTTTCTGGGAAGCTTGCAAGGAGAAAGTCAGTGGGAAACTTTGCAGGAAAGGTCACAAGTTGCTCCCACATCTATACAATCCCCATCGGTCCCTGCACTTTCAAATATATCTGAAAGAATGATCCAATGGATCGTGGATTGTTTTATATTTTCAAAAATCATGTTGGAAATTTCGTGCTTTGCTCTAGTAAATAGATCACTATGTATAGAATATAATTACATAATATATTTACCTTTCTATAAAGACATTGGACATACATCCTTCAAAGTTATTCCCACCCAGTTTTATTGGTTGATTCATTAATTTTCTTTCAGGTGTTACAACTGTTTTTGAGTTAGGCATATCATCAACTAATAACGTCAGCCTAGAAGGACAAAAAATGCATATAAGAGTGAAATTATCATGGCAAAACTATTATGATACTAAATAATTATTATTCACATATCATTTGAACATTCCCTTCCAGCAACTGTTACCAAAGTTCCTATTATATATCACATCACTATGTAATTTGGCTTAGAATCTGCCACCCTCCAAACAAAGTAATTTTGTATTTTATTATTAATAATGCTGTCATATTCAAGAATACCTCTGTGAAAAACAAATCATTCTCAGGATCCAGATCCATTGACTTATCATTTCTAATACAGTTTAAACATTCACAACCTTTATAACCAAGCATCAAATTAAACAATAAAATTATATTTTGACCAAAGCATTACTCAATACAATAATCATTTAAACATACATATCATCTTCTTTTATCACTGTTATGTAATGCATTGAACCAATTTCATATTTTTTGCTCGATTGGATTTCTTCATCAGCCAAGATTACAATTACATAGCCATTTCTTAGGAAAACAGTAAAATCAGCAAGCTAAAAGAAGGAAAAAGAAACAGACATTTTTTTTGAATATTGAGATTTTGGATTTTGTAGGAAAGCAACTTGACTGTATTTTAGAAGACAACAAAAGATAATTTATCTTTCTTACCTGTATTTTATAACTTAATAGCGTTCCATTAACTGCCAATGTGTGAAAACCAAATCCAACTTGGAAATTATCAGGAAATGGAAAATCTTTATCATTTAAGTCAAGAACTCCATTCTTGAAAAAGTTTGCAGTTCTCACCAGCTAAAAAATACAAGTAGATGATAAAACACTTTCTTTTTAAAACTAGTGAGTGATCTTTATTTTGCTTGCTTCTCTATTATTTATAATAAGATTAACAGATGTTTCATATTTTTAGAAATATTTAGAGATATTATGTTTAAATAATGAAGACGAATTGTGAATTAAAGAATTGTGAACATTATGGAGTAATACCAAGTAATAAAAGAAGTGGTGATTAACTTACCTTCCAATCCTCCGGGCATTTTCTGCTGACACCAAAACTTTCAGAGAAGCTTATAGAACGTTCAAATGAGGTTTTAATATTCATCATGCACCCACGAAATGGTGGTATGGATATATTAAACCTGCTTCCAAAAAATAAGTAAATAACAGCAATCAGCAAACCACAGCTTTAAAGTTGATATTATGCAAATCTCTTGTCTTTTGGGGTAGATAAACTACTCTCCACTATCAGAAAGAATTCCATAAACTATACAGGGAGAAAAGGGTTGCACTTTGATCTAGAGTTTGGTCTTGGCGCCAGGCTAGAAGACAGGAGACCCTGAGTTCTAGTCCTGCCTTAGTCATGAAAATCAGCTGGGTGATTTTGGGCTAATCACTGTTTCTCAGTCCAATTCACCTCACATGGTTGTTGTGGTAGGAAATAGGAAAAGGAAGAAGCATTAGGTATGTTAGCTGCCTTAAATTATTTATAAAAATGATAAAGGCGGGATAAAAATCTAATAAATAAATAAACTTTCCAATTGCTGTAAAGCCAGGGTAAGGAATTTACATCCTCTTTAATGTTATTTGAATTTTAATTCTAAGTGTCTGTGATGACTGCATTGTTGAGAGCAGAATTCACCATACAGGAGAAAACAAACAATTCTTATTCATCTCCAAATTATGTTTGTATGTTTCTCTTCAAAATATATATTTATTCAAAGAATAACGTATTTTTTAAATTATACATAGAAAATAGTATTTTTCTCACTATTATTTATAATTATACATGTTTATACCAAGTGCATTTTTTGTACAAAAAAAAGTATACTATGGGAAATTCTGGAATCCACATACATATTCTAAAACCGTAGTTTTAGAAACTATAGAAAATAGCAGCATCCCCGTGCTTACTTCTTTTGGAAAAAAAATGTTATGATTGTATATTATCCCCAGATCATTTGAATGGAAGCTCAATTTCCAGAAGGAAAAAGCTTTAGTTAAAAGTTTTTCATTCCAACTTAGAAGAAGGAAAGAATTATTTAGTCATCCAGCTGGATCTTCTTTCTGTTAACTTACATCAAGCATGAGGAACTTATAACCTATCAAGCCAAATGCACCTCAGTCATTATATACAGTAATGTTGCTTCTAGATGACTGACAATATCCATACCAAACATCAATACCAAACCCAAGAAAGGCAAAAGTCTCCAGCTAAACCACAATCCAGGTGCAAGAATGCATTCAGCATTGCCAAGGCCTAACATGCATCCTTACTACTCTGCACCAGTTCCTATCTTCAAGATGGGGCCACTTACCGTTCTCTTAGAGAGTTTGGAATTCCTCCCAAGTAATATGAATCAAAATGAAATGTATTCACGCTGGCATATAATCTAAGTTTGTCAATCCCAAAAATATATTGTTTGGGGGAAATGTGTAAAATAACCTGAAACAAATAAAACAATCAGATTTAAAGCCTTTTGTGTTATTTGTTATTTCATTATGATTTTAACATTTACATTTACAAGTAGTATCTTTATTATTTCCAATATTGTGCCTTTTATGTTTTTTTAGTTTGTAATAATTAATTAAAACAATGAACAGTCAATATTATAGGTAAGAAACAAAAATTAAGACAATACTAAAGTATAGTTAGTCAACAGGAAACAAAATCAACAAGAGGGGAGAAGAAACCCGAAGTTCTCTTTTAAAATAGACGTTTTTTAAAAAAAGCTACAACACAAACTTTGCCAGAAATATATATTAGTTTCCAGTTCTTTTCTAAAAGATAGAAAATGTTGATATGGCCCACAAGCACCAAGCATTTTCATTTCCCCCCCCCCCTTACTTTAAAATTTCAAACTTAAAAACGTTTCCTTTGAACAACACGGGACCCTCTGTATTATACCAATCTTTTCTGCTATTACCTTTTATTTTGATACCATCAAGTCCTAATGAGGATTTAACATTCTTTAAATCTCCAAGACAATATAACTGAATGTGGGAAAGATGTAAGATAGTGCAGACCCTTGATTAATATAGCAATAAAAGAATAAATGGATTTTTTGCTAAATAATGACCACAAAATGGAATTTGAAAAGAGATTTACTGATTTCCACAGATTATCTCATAACTGCTACCCCACTCCAGCTCTAAAACGACTCCCAACCCTCTTTCCCTGACAGGTATTCCTACGCTTGGGTTCTGAGACTATCCTTCAAAATCCCTTTCTCTATAAGTAATTCTCTCCTCCTGCTAAGAGGGAGTGCTCAGCATTGCTAACCTTTGACTGGCAGTTCCACTCCACAATCATTGCAGAGACTGAACATTACAGGCAGGGGATACATAAGCAGCTGGGGTAATATCTGCTGGCAGCAACTTAAATAAGATGCCTTTTTTTTCTCAGATCTGCATGAAAACATTCCGCTGCCTGAGGCAAACAAAAAGACAACACTCCTTGCCTTTTTATATTAAAAAAAGAGCAACTGGGCTAGTAGTTAACAGGGTGATGGTTCAACAACCCGAAAATGCTTTGTTTATTCAGGAGGAATAGGCAAAGGGTATTCCTGTTCTCCATCAACTGCTACCTGAGACATTTCTTCATTGCTGGCTGACTCTGTCCATTTCCTAATTTTTACATAAACACTCTGCTGAATATTAATCATGTTTAGCCTTTCCCAACCTAAATGCATATTTCAACTCCTGCAATTCTCTAGCCAGCACGGCCATTGCCAAGAAGCCTAGGTGTTGAAACCCTCCCATCTTCTGCATACCCAGAAGATAGTAAAGTTGGGCAAGACTGTCTTAGAGCCTTCTGACATCAACCTTTTGATAATATGGAAGCTCCCAAACATGTTAACCCAACCTCCTCCTGAGAACCTTTTGTCTGGAGGGGCAAAGCCAGAGTATGACAAATTTGGTGGTGGGACTGACACATAGCCCTAATCTCCTACATAATGTCCCCTTATGCTGACATATACATTTGGGAGCAATCTCACATATTTGTTTTAAGAATAAACTTTAACAATTTCCATATGTGTAGCTAAGGTTAATAAAATAGCTAGCACATTGCAAAGGGTCGTGTGTGAGCATTTTCATAATGATAACAAGCCTGAGATTCGTTTTGTGCAGAGAAACTTACCAGTTTTTCTGTTACGCTGCTCATGGTTCCATTTGTTATTTCTCTTGGAGGTTGTGAATCAACTTTGTATGTGAATATTGGGCGGTCATTTTCAATTCGCAAACTAATAAACTTGTCCTATAATCCAGAAATAATGTTTTATGCAAAATAATACAGAAATAGACATTAACTGAAGCAGGCATTTTTTCTTTTATTCTGAATAACATATAATATTTATATCTTTTCCTAATAGTCTGATTGTTTCAGCTTTCATTTTTTAAAGAAAAAATGCATTGTTCCTTCTTAGGTGGAGAAAGAGGGCTATCCTTTCCCCCAGATTTGCTGAATTACAACTTGAAACATTTTTGAGCAACAACTGGAGAGTATTGTTGGGAATAACTGACTGAAGCCAATGAAGACCAACATTTTCACATCCAACTATAAATCCAACTACAAATCCAACATCCAACTATTTTTCATTTTTATTCTATGAGAAAGCCATAATGCATCTTTCTGCTTTGTCATTTGGGCTGCTTGTTTCTATCACCAGATAACTAGAAGATCAGGAACCTGAAATAGGAATTTTATATATGCTCACGAATACAAGCAACAATAGCCCTACATTTGCTTGAGCATAGGCCAAGACTAGCAAAATATATGAACTAAAAGGGCAGAGGTTCTAGTAGGTGAATATTGCATTTTGCTTACTGCCATTCAAGTCCAACTACCATCCCTATGTCTTTCATTTTCTTCAATTGAGGCAGTAGCTCATGAAGCATCAGGGACTGGATCTGAGTGCTCAGTCTGATCTTTATAGCTACATTCAGAAACTACAATGATCAATTTTCCATTTATTTAGCCAAAAAAAAAAAAAAAAAGACTCGGCATAAAGTTGTGAGAAAGTTAAGGTTATGTTCCAAAAACTTCAATGCAGTTGGCATCATAAGGGCTTAGGAAGTATTACTAAGCTGATCTGCTTGACACAATGTTAAGATCTGAAAAATGAGATTCAGAAAATATTATGAAACCTAAGCCGCACATCTGTAACCTAAAGGAAAACATAAACTCTGCACTCCAGAGTTTATGGCTAAATAACTCTCCAGTTGATATTTGACTATTCCTAGCTTACTGAGAAAAACAATGAAAACAATTTATTGCAGTTAACAGATATCATGCAAATTACAGCTGAGAAAGTAAATTCTCAACATGCCCAGAATAACATTTCAATATCTGTACATCTATATTTAAAATATTTTAAAAACTATTCCCTATCTTTTGGGATTATGCTAGTTAATACAACTGTTTATGAGATGCCTTTACTATTGTTTAAATAAAATATTACTGAAGAGACCCTCGGGATGGGTGCAAAATGCAAACCAACAGTTCAGTTTTCCCACTCAGCTGGCCCCAACTCAGAAGACAACACCACCCACCAACAAACTCCATAGAGTGGAATGAATGAGGAATCTGGATAAGGTGGGATCACTCCTTTGCTGGACATTTTTGTAAGTTTTCATGAAAAATATTTAAGCAGCTATTCTTGTTTCTTTAAGTCTTAAACTATGAACAAAATAATTGGGTATTTTAAAATTTCCTCCAGATGCATTTAAGTTAAGGTAACATCATTCCTTAATAAGACAAAAAAAAGATTTAAATGAATTAAGATTAAGCTTCTTTCTTTGATGAAACTTAGGTTCTGGGTTGAAGAGTATAATGTACTACATAAATACATATACACACATACTACACAAATACATTCTGTACATACATACATATATAATAGATCTCTTGAGATGCACTTCCACCAAGTCTATTTCTTTATATCACAAAACTATCAAAATTGTTTATGAATAATTTTTCCAACAGTACAATACAGTGTATGTTGGAATCTGAAATGACTGGTTATTTGAATATGTGTTTCAAATTATTTTCAATTATAAGTTAATAGATACAAATTTGGGGTTAGTATTGACATATTTACATTGCTTCAGAAATATTTATTTGTATGGATCTTCCTTTCCCTGTGCTTAATTTCATTCTTTTTTCTTCTCTGCCACCTTCCAGTTTGCCTGGAAACGTTTACATGAATATTAATTACCTGATTTGCTGCAAAGAACACCAACCCGACATCTGAAGCAGTTTGAATGGTTTGTTCATATCTTATGGGTCCTGTGCCTGGAGAAGCCTTTATTTGTGCATAACCTATGCCTTCAAAGTAAAAGTCAGCAGATTGTTCTCTGTATCTGAAATAAAGAAATCTGCGGATGAAAATACTATCATCCTACCAAGCATATTTGATATATCAAGAAATGTTAAACAAAGAAAACAGTCAAACTAAGTGAAAATTGTGTTTCCCTTCATAAGGAAGTAAACTATATGTTAAAGATACAATCATTCCTTCAGTTTGTTTTCTTATTCTTTTTAACAGTCCAATTGCACATTTATGAAGTTTAAATAATAGCTTACACTTGGTTTTTTGAATTCTAAAATAAAGCTGTGTCTGAGAAGAAATTGAAAGTTAACCAAACTTCCTTTATCTTTCTTTAGCCTACAGATGAACACATTTCCTTAAATTTCAAAACTCGCTTCACAAGTTGCACTAAGCTATTTTTGTTTCAAACGTATTTATTGAATAAGTCACAATTCAAACATCATGCTAAGCACCAGTCCTCATTTCAAAATCATGATTAGTGGGTTCTCATAAAGAGCATGTTAAGAACCTCAGACATGATTCAAAGAGCTAGCATGGGACAATGGCTCAAAGACTGAACTAGGATAGGGGAACTCGGGTTCTCCACTTTCAGACACTAAAGTTCTCTGGGTGACTTGGGACCACTTACAGTGTTTCAGTACCCCAGTGCAATTGGGAGGGGAAGGGAACTGAAGGAATAAGTGCTATATAATCCTGAAGAAAGGTGGAATATATATCAAATAAATAAAATACACTTGCAATTCAACTTTGATTTGAAGTGTGTGTATCACATTGCTTACAGCATCTGCACAAGAGTTAATCTAAAGTCTAAATCTATTTAAAGGGATCCACATAACCCGCCACTTTAAATCGATTCAGCAATTCAGTTCCAAGTTTTGATCCAATTGCTTATGCAAAGTCCTACCTAACATATTGTAGTGGCATGTATGAATGATCTTGGAGAGACAGGGAGAAGAGCTGCAGACTAGATAAGTGTTAAATAAGAGGCAGCTCAGCCATTAGAAGGAATGTAGATATGGCAAACATCTCAAAAGCGACCCTCCTTAGTTTGTTGGATTGTAAAGGTGAGGGGGGAGAGATGTACTTTCAGACTTGCAAGATTTTCTTAATGTAACCTTATAATAAAGATAGAACTAGTATTTCTGGGTGTGCTTCTCATCTGACTACCTCGCAAAGGATAATACATGTGAAGTCAAAAGCAAACAAACCATTGCTTAATGCAATGTGAAAGCTCAACCACAGAATGAGGAAAGTATCAGAGAATGCACGTAATATTTTAACTGAAGCTCAGTGGGAATTGAAATATAAGTTCTATGCTGTACATGTGAAGGAGAACTTTGGCATACAGAAAAAAAAGTGGAGAATAAGCTTAACTGTTGTTAGTCTGATTCCTTCTGCTCTCGCTGACTGCATTCTTCAAGTGGTAATAAAATGCCTAGCCAATGCCAGCCTACATCATGTATTGGTCTCCTCAAAAATGAACCTAACCCGGAGCATCCATAGGATCTACCTCTTTCATAAAAAAAAGACAGGAGCAGTGCTGTGCCATGAACTTCATCCCTTTAATACATGCACATAGTGTCACAATACATGTAGAAAAAGATTAAGGCTTGCATCACATTGGCACCATACAGATTTTATCAATTTTCTATATGACTTTACATTAATGCCACTGACTCCGTTTCCAAGATATCATCATTGGAGTCAGTACACTCTGAAAGATATTTTGAAACTACCATCTCAGGGGGTGCCTCAGTCAAGGACTCCAGAAGGTACTTAAGTTACCCAAGCTCAAAGCTAAAAGGAGCCCTTTTAATTAATTCTGATCACTTGTCAGAAAATATTTCTTTGCCCTTGGGGGGGGGGGTTTACATAGTTTCACCATGTAGATCCTCAAAAATCTTAATAATAACAAACCACTAAAAGTTTCAGCCACCTATATTTGATCTTACAGATAACTAATAATACCTCACTAAATGGAGAGGAATACTTTATTGTAGATCAGATGCCAATATGTAGAAGAACAAGGAGTAGCATGGCTATGTACGTGACCAACTTAAAATCTGAATATGATTTTAAAAGATACATAGAGATTTTTGAAGGCTGATAAAAACTATCCATATCTGAATAGGAGAAACAGAATGTGCTTGATAACATTCCATAATAATTAAAGCACATCTAGTTTTAAAAAAATTACCTCCTGCATGGTTGCACCGCAGTAGTGTTAAGATTAAAAGTCTTCTTGAAATTGTATAAGCTGAAAACTCTGTCATTTAAGCTGTTTAATTCAATGCAGCCTTTGTAATGTTGATAGTCCAGTGTACTAGGAGGCTGTAAAAATAAGAACACTCTTCAAGAAAAAAATAGCAGCATAGTTCTATAATGCTCAATAATACTATATAAACATAGAAATTGCAATTGTCATGAGATTCTGTAGCCCCCAATGCGTTTTCATTATTGCATTGCACAGACCCAATCATTTATAACTATATTCAAAATTCCATATCCTTAAAATTCTAATTCTTAATTAAAAGAATTTAAAAAGAAAAGTTTTGGCTTTTAAGATTGCAAAAATAATTTTGAATATTTGGGATTTACTGATTCACTGAATGTTCAGCCTAATAACTAAAAATCTCACTTCCACACAACATTCCTCAATTCCTCCAACTTATTTTGAAGTCAACCATGCAGTTATACTCGTTCTTCAGAATAAAGAAAACAGGCAGAGAAAATCATGAGACAATTGGTGTTTACTCTTCAGCTGATCAATAGGTATGCAAAATCAATTATCCCCTCAGTGTCCCATCTAAAACTACTGCAACAAAACCCTGTCACTCTGTAATGCAAAAAGAAAAGAAAATAGATTGAGAGCAGTTCTTCTATCTAGTACATATTTCTCATTAGCTGCAAAATAAAAAAAAATCACACACTGACACATTTCTCACAGGAATAAAGATCTGGCTCTTAAGTTGTCATCCTTACAGTATAGGAAAACTGTGAAAGTAGTGTGGTATCAAGTCAAGTTTGCAATCAAATACTTCTCACAAAGCCTCTAGCCATAGTTGCAAGCTAGAGTGATAAATGAAGTGGAAGAAACGGGATAATAAATCCTAAAGAATGCCAACAAACGTACATCTGGAACAGGAGGCTGAAGTTGCCTTCAGGGGCAGGGGAGGGGAAGAAAGGGGTGTTCTAGAACAGTGGTGGTGAACCTATGGCATGGGTGCCAGAGGTGGCACTCGGAGCCCTCTCTGTGGGCACACATGCTGTTGCCCCAGCCTTGCCTCCCCCTGTGACCCCTTCCTCACCAGCAGCCCCCCTGAAGGAGAGTCACCCCCGAGTGTGGCCCATGCAGAGCAGCACAGCCAAGGACATGGCAGCCAGGCAGCATAGACAAGACTCTGCCCTCATGCCGAATCGTGCACAGTTGATGCTGCGGGGTATGACAGAGGGCGTGGCTGCCATGGCGCTGCTGGGCTGCCTGGGTGATCTGCAGCCAGCCCTGGAGGTGGTGAGTGGCCCTGCGGGTAGGCGGGGTGGGGGCGGGGCAGGAGGTAGAGCAGGGGCGGGGCCAGTTTTGGGCACTCGGTCTCTAAAAGGTTCGCGATCACTGTTCTAGAATAAGCAAAATCCCCCCACCCTGACTTCATATTCTAAATAAAATAAATATAATTAATAGCATGCCCTCATTCAAAAATGGAAATTTTGAGCTCAATTGTGATTGTAGGTTTAGGACTATCTGTAATTAGAGCATTGCATTCCTGTTAACACCATGCTGAAGAAAGAAAGAAAACAGACAGTACTCCAGCTAATTGTATATGATATTTTAAGTCTTTTTTTACATGGGATGATAATTTTTGATTATATCAAACAGCAAACAGGAGTTTTTTGGAATGTAATTGAGATTCTAACTAGCCTACTGATTGTAAGAGATATATATAAGGCTTATAAGGTGGGTTATTGTCTCTGTGATAAGGAACAATAGAATTCTTGGTTGCAAATTTATGGAAAATATAGTTAAAGAATGTTTACTGGAATATGCAAAGAATCCTACAGTTTACATTCATCCAAGTAGCAAATGGATAATTTTTAGATTGTTCAGATTAAATTTTCTTTGAAAAGATTTAAATTAAATATTGGGAAAGTAATCAAAAAGATGGTAATGTACTAAATAAGCACATTATTTAAAACAAGAGAAACACAAGATGTAATCTCTGAAACAATGGGCAGAGAATCACAGATATATTAATTTACAATTTTTCAATTGTATTTTAATACAAGTAATTTTATGATCTTGATGATATGATAGATCAACAGCAAATGAGTAATATTTTGAGTGAATTTGATATTCAACTGTTACTACAAGATTGTGCAGGGATTTTGAAAGCAGCTTTGAAACTTAAGAGATATTTGAGACAATTCAGCTGGTGAAAAGTAGAAAGCCTCCAGCCTAGATGGTTTTCCTATTAAATGGTATAAATATTTTATAGATATTTGGGGCTTGATATTCTAAGAGATTTATACTAAATAGTTTACATATGATTAATTGCCTTTATCTTTTTATGTGGCTGAATTTAAAATCAGGTAAAGATTCTAAATTGTATGGAAAGGTATAAACGCATATAATTAATTAAGGTAGACTCTATTAACTGTTTTGTTGGCTAGATCATTGCAGTGAGTGTTAACATACATAATTTATCCATTGCAGTCCAGATTTATTAAAACTAGACATCAGAGAATTTATATTTATTAATAGATATTTTGAACATAGCTCAAGATGTATTAGATTCTGCTGCATTAAAATTTTAAAAGCTGAAAACCTTTTGAAATGGTTCAGATTAATTTTCTAAAGCAAGTTAGGTGGGTATGGATTTCCACCTTCTTTAATTGTACAGATTGCAATTATATTTGAGAGCCAGTTTGGTGTAATGGTTAAAGGTATTAGGCTAGAAACTGGAAGTTTTTAAGAAGAAACTGGACAGCCATTTGTCCAAAATGGTATAGGGTTTCCTGCCTGAGCAGGAGGTTGGACTAGATGACCTCCGAGGTCCCTTCCAACTTTATCATTATTATTATTATCCTGGAAGAAGGCAAATGCCAAGCCACTTCCAAAAATGTGGCCAAGAAAACTACGTGAATTGTCCATGTTCAATTTTACTCTAAAAATAGATGGCCCTACTTTACTTGAAAGTATATGCAGAATCTGAAATAGTAACTTTAAATCAATTATTTTATAATTATTATTTTAAGGAATTTCAATGGCTTCACACAGACTTTTGTTTTGCCTAATATACCACAGGGGTAATATAATTTAACTGAAGCCTGCCTTAAGCAGATGCTTCAGATGCTTCAAGGAAACTTGTTTTTGATGAAATCTGCTTCTGAAATCAAATTGATTTTATATTTATATTAAAAAAATAAAAATGCAATAGGTTTGACAAATCTATACATTCTTTTAACCTTTTTCTGTAACTCCAAAAATCAAACAAATCATGGAAGCTGACTAATTTGTTCCATTTTCAAAATTTTGCTTCTTTGTTTCAAAGCTCAGTAATACTTGACACAAAATTTGACCAAAAATAAACAACATAATAACCTCTCAAGATATATCCTGCAGTGGAGATATTCTTTCCAAGTACTTTTTTTGTAAGAACAATATGATAAAATTATGAGAAGAGTCATCTATTGGATTACAAAAAATAATGATCTATTTTTTCTAATATTTGCTTAAGACATAAAGCCGTTACCGTAAATTCTGGTGGATATCCTCCCACATAGAAGACCACTTTGTCAGGATCCAAGTTAAGAAGAGTGTTACTATTCCTACTGGGAACTTGAAAAGGTTCATATTTGACTGACAAATCTGAGGGTGCAGCATGCTTGTATTCTAATTCTGCATACTGGTAAATTCTAGAGAAGAAGAAAAATGTATAAAACTTCCAATATGCGTGCAAAATAATTGGAAAGGATCTATTTTAAGGGTCCATACCTCTTAAATGTGATTTGATCCAAAGCTATGTCCCTGGTGTTTTTCTCATACATGTTTTCCGTCACTCGTATTTCATATTCAGAGCCTCCTAGGCTATAGGCGCAAATAAGATGACCACCACGAATAGCCATACCAATATAGTTGGAACGCTGAACACGAAAGCTTAAGTTAATTCTTTAGACAACATATTATATAATCCTTTTTTTAAAAAAAATCAGCAAATATAACACCTGCAAAGGAGGAGTATGTAAGCAAGATCATCAGGGCGGGTACTTGTTTTCAATTTTGTCTCAGTCTGCTGAGATTAAAAAAAATAAAAAATAAACTCCCACATAAGCTTGTGTTCACCTTGGGACAAAAGCTGCCTTAGAGATAAATCTAAATTCAGTATAGATTTCAATTCAATTGGATGGTTCAAATTCTCCACAGAACCCATGGTATTTACCATCCTCTAATTATCTGATAGATAATGCTTTCTCCCGCCCAGAACAAACCTCCGGAGACCCACTGCCGCTGCTCCCAATCTCCATCCTGGGTGTTGGAGGCCAGGAGGAGGCGTCCCCCACCCAGAACGGATCTCCAGAGATCCACTGCTGCCGCTCCCAACCTCTGTTCTGGGTGTGGGAGGCCCGGAGGCCTCCCCACCCAGAATGGACCTCTGGAGACCCACTGCCATTGCTCCTGACTTCCGTTCTGGGCGTGAGAGGCCCGGAGGCCTCCCACGCCCAGAATGGAGGTTGGGAACAACGGCAACAGATCTTCGGAGGTCCATTCTGGGCAGGGGAAGCCCAGAGGCTTCCCATGCCTAGAATGGAAATTGGGAGCGGCGGCAGTGGGTCTCCGGTTTGTTCTGGGCGAGGGAGACCTCCTGCAGGCCTCCAATGCCCAGAATGGAGGTCATGAATGGCGGCTGCATGGTTCCAGAGATCCCTTCTTGGCAGCAGAGGCTCTTTGCAAAGATGGCAAATGGCTTTGCAAATGGATGGAAGGCTTCGATGTTTTAGCACTTACCTCCATTTGCAAAGCTTTTTTGCTGCAGATCTCGTCTAGGCCTTCGTTTGCAGAGAACAGAGTCCTAAAATACTGTGAGGTCATGCAAGATCAGTAGCATGAGATCTTGTGTGGTCTTGCAGTACTTTACATCTCCATTCTCTGTGAACACACGGAAGGCCTGAAACAGCAAAACAGTCAAGAAGTGAAGACTCTCTAGGGAGACCCAGGGCGGGGGGAAGGGTGAATGACTGCTGTGGTGCAGCAACATTCATAATTTCGGGACTTTTTCGTAAACACTAGGTGGTGCTTATTGAGTAATTTTGAACATTCACTAAGGGAATGTTCCTAACTCGGGGATTACCTGTACATACACAAATGCACACATAGTAAACCCTGATTAACAGATTAAGAGATGAAGTGGTGCCCATTTCGGCCAATGTCATTTAAAAGGTGAACCATAGTCCAATGTCCAAAGCTTCACATGAAACAACAGGATTAAAACATTACATTCAAAGAACCAATTAGAAGAATTATAATAGGCTGGGTAATTAAATAATTCATGATAGTACACATTTGCTGTTTTTAGAAAGTAATTATGTGGCTGCTTTGACATAATGACAGGAGCTTGGCTCTATTTTTAGCTATAATTCTGTTTATTTCCTGCATTAACGATATATTTGGAAGATAATTTTGAACGTTATTCACATGATAAACCCCAAATTGAAAATAACAAGTAAATAATTTATTGGGGTGGAGGAAGTCACAGAAAAGTATGGTTATTAATATTTTAGATCAGCTTATTGTTTAGTGCCTAAAACTGGTGAGACATGGTCACTGACACACAGGCCCAAGAAAACCCTTACATAAACATGGAACTGATGTCTCAAGGCCCAGAATAAAGTAAATATTTTGATTCAAAACAGTAGAAGTCTTAGGATTTGCCTAATAAACATAGAGGTCACTTTCTGCATTCTGTAATAGACTGACATTTTGCTTACATATGATTTCTTTCATGACAGAGTGACTCTTTTTTAAAATTTTGGAACACTGTTACATTGTTTTCAGTTTATGAATTTTTTATTGATCTAATCAATATTGCTTGCTATTATTTCATGTGATCTTCAAGGATGTATTTAAAAATTAAGCTTAATGATTCTCCATACGTAATACAATATTATTTATTGTTATTTTCCCTCTGTTTCTGATTTTTTTCTTTTTCTTGTTTTGTTTGCTGATTTTTTTTCCTTATCATTTTTGGCATATTAAGGTTATACAATTTTTAAAATGCTATCTCAAATTAAACAGCAGTGAAGAAGGTGCCTAGTGCCATGTTCAAAGATACAAACACATTGTGCTTCCAGCTCATATACAGCATAGCAATCCACAACAGGGTCCTTTTTGGGGGGAGAATGAAGAGCTTTTAAAGATAACAGAATCCAATAATTTAAAGGTTCTGGATTGAGACCATTTTATAGCCATGACTTTCCCCAAAGTTGAGGAGATGGCATCTGCAACAAGCAGAATGCCTCCCTTCACCTCAAATTTATTTAATTACTAACTGTATCCGGCCACGCGTTACTGTGGCTCAGTCTGGTAAAAGCGTGTGTTGCTTTTACGTCCAACAGATGGCGCTGTTTTTCAAAAAAAGCATGTTTTACCTGTCACAGGTGTGACATCTATATAATATAGGTATATAAAAACACGCGCGTATTCAAATGCAACGTTGTGTCAAAATTTCAAAGCAATCGGTGAAGAACTTTCGGAGATTTAAGATTTTGAACAAACGAACATTTACATTTTTATTTATATAGATGGTCAATGACCAGCAAGGTTAAAAAAAAAACAATCCTCAGAAGCAATGTTAAAGGCAAAATTAAAAAAATAAAAGTTTTAGGCTTAAACTCAAAATTGCAGGAAAAAAATGAATAAATTATAATAACATAAAATATATTTTGGCTATAGATTTATGATCTTTTCAATAATGGCTCAATAAGAAATAATCAATACTTACATCTTTGTTACCCAGATACATGACAAACATATCAGATGTCTGCGGTTGTGACATGTCTTCCTTTTTATTAGGCCTTTGTAGAAGGAAAGAAAGGAACGTGTAGCCCTTCAGATCATCCAGGATATCAGGAAGTCGAACCTCAACTGCCGATTTGCCATTGAATTTCATAGGGACGGCCACCTAAAATAAGATTTGTAAGTAATTACAAACTTAAGAAGCAAAGCAAAACTTCAACTTACACAGAATTCAGTATTTACAGTATATCATTCTTAAACAATTCAACCAACTTGGATTTATACAGTTTTGTGAATATTACTCCTGTCCCCATTGGCCTGACCCACGTAGGCATCCAAAATAAAATACTTTTGAGAAAGGATACCTAAGAATAATTAGGTAAGTATGTGAGAATAATTTTTAAAAAGGAAGCAAGACATTTTTTGCCACACACCTTATTTGCAGCATCTCTGGCTTGCTGTATGAGCTCCCTGATGCGATTTATATTCTCTGTTATATTGCTTGTTGAGATGACTTGCTGGTTGATATTTGTAATCTTGTTAAACAGATCTGGGAGCATGCTTGTTAAGTTATTTACTGTTGAAAGCATTTTAAAATGAGGGAGAAATATAGGATATTACATATCAAATACTGATTGCCAGTCTACATACTTATTAAAATTATGGCTAACATAAGTATAAACTTAATTTTTAGTTATTAACAATACACTAGTTTAATTACTTGTCAATTATTAAACCCAAGTGGGAACAGAAAGGAAAATGATAATTGACTAGCTTCCTATGCCCTATTTTGTTTTCAAGAACACAAACTAGAAGGAATAGCTACACTGTTAAGATTAAACATATGAGAAGCCTTTTCCAGTCTTTCACATCCTCCAAATTTCTTGAACTACAAAAATTATTCACCCATACCCTACATTCAAGTTGAGGAATTTGAGACTCATCTAAACACCCACTGGGAAATAGAATTATTATTTTGGAGGAAACATGACTAGTATTGTATTATAATTCGAATAATCACTACAGCTCTGTAACAGCATTATACAACAGAAAGTGGAACTTTTTCCTATATACAAAATGAGGCTGATGCAGGAAGTGATAGTCCTGTGCAGAGTTGCTTCACCATATAAACTTCCTTCAATTTAACAAGTTAAATCTACCTGTGATCTGTTAAACTTAAACCTACCACAAGAAGTTAAACCTATCCATGACTTGATTCCTGAAATCATCACAAACTGTATTCCCAGCTGCTTCAACCCAACGACTATGATATTAAAATGGAGGAAGGGGATTCAAACATTTTTACTACTGCTTAGATTTTATCAAACTCTTATTCTCTAAAATTAGGTATCCTAGATTTGCCTTCCATATGTCTATGCTATTTAGGTTTTGACAGGTGTTGCTATGCAACTTCTTGGAAGAGATTATTCTAGAGTGAGGATCTAAATTATTTTAGGTTTTGACCATTCCAGAAAATTCTCCACAAGGTTTGGTTCCATAACACTCACAGGGTGTGTCTGCTAAGTGATGACTCAATAGGAGTTTTAACAACTGTCCTTTTTCATAAAAGATATCATATGAAAACTTGAACATTAATTTAAAAATAGTTTAAGGAATCCATGTAAAAGAAAAAAGCTACCTGAACGGCTTGCTTCTCTCAAAGCCTTGTTGAAATCAGTAATCTGTACATTTTCATAGGTCTGCTTTATGTTCTCAACTCCAGCTTTAATTGGGTCCAGTTCACTGAGTACGTTTGTAGTAATATTGTTGGCATTCTTAATCATGGTATTTGCAGTTGTGATTAAGCTCTCTATATTATCTAGTAGGCAGATAAAGTGGCATATAAATTCAGGATAACATTTATTTTTAAAATACAATAAAATGGAAAATGCTCTCTACTGAAATATATGAGGCTTAGATTCTGCACTATTGTATGTAATTTTTATACAATTTTTTTCTTTCCTTTTATTTAATGCTTTTTTATATAAAAAAATAATGTGTACAATAAATCCAACAAAATGTACATTAGTAAAAACCCACATTCTATTACTTACCTCTCTTTATTTCCTGGAGGTTATTTTGGAATGCACTAAGAACTCCCTGTACTGTAGTTTTTTTGCGTTCGGCTTCCTGAAGTTTGCTCCTCATATCATCAAGTGCTGGACTGAGATCTATAAAATAATCCACTATAAAACATCCTGATAATTATGGATTGCTCTCACTTTAATACTAATAGTAGTTTTACTATTCATGCTCCTATAACTCACTGCTTTCTGATAAGGTTTCTCTGCTTTCCTCTAGTTCAGGGGTCCTCAACCTTGGCAACTTTAAGACTTGTGGACTTCAATTCCCAGAATTCCTCAGCCAGCTTTGGGAGTTGAAGTCCACAAGTCTTAAAGTTGCCAAGGTTGAGGACCTCTGCTCTAGTTATTCTTTTGCCCAGGTGGCCAGACCATGAACCCATGACAGCCAAATTCATTTTCACTTTAATCCTACTAGGCAAATTTAACTACATTGAAATATGACTGGTTTGAGCGTTTTAGAAATATCACATGAATTGGTTCAGAGCCTTTCCCAGATAATTTACAATTACTGGTAGTCAATGGAAGGAATCCAGTTCAAACAATTCTGGAAGTTGAAGTCCATACATCTTAAAGCTGCCAATACTGTAAAACACTGGTGCAAGAAGAAGAAACCACTAGATTTTGTAGCCTCCCTTTTCACACACGCAGCTTTTACTAGCTTGAGTCTTGTAAGGTCTGTTTCTCTGAAACGTATTCTGTTGAAAGGCCATCTTAAAACAAAGAAAAGCACTTTCACTACCAACTACCATACTCTTTTTATCAAATGTAGTGACTGTGATCTAGGCTGATGTGAAAACAGCCAATTTCCAAAAAGGAGTCAGTTAGTGGCAAATATAACTTAGCTTCTAACAAGATCAGGCCTGGAACAATAGTAGAGGATGAAAACGTAAAGCTTTTTATTGTGTTTTGTAATGCTTGCAATGTATAGTGTGCTGATGATACCTTGCAATGTCTTCTGTGTTTCTCGTGCTTTGTTCAACACTTTTCCACTGTTGGTTTTCAGTCTTTCAGCCATTCCAGACAGATCTTTTTCATCCACTATCTGAAAATGAAGCACTGCCAGGTAAAAGGTTTGTACAGCAAAAGTAGTACAAATTCATCATCCAAGCCACCAGTAGCAGAATTGCTGTAACTGTTTTGTGTGAATTCAGAAGACTTGGAACTGGAGGTTGGTGCAAAATGAGGCAAGTGGCACAGAAAGAGGGCCAGGACAGAACAATATGCTCCAGAAACAGAGCTGTTACAATACAAAAATCTATTTCTTTTGAAGTCTCTCTCTCTCTCTCTCTCTCTCTCTCTCTCTCTCTCTCTCACACACACACACACACACACACACATAGTTGCTATTTTGTAAAAAAAATGTGCATTCCTCACAAATCTGGCAATCTAAGATGTTTCTAGTGTTTCCTACCAAAGCTATCATACTGCAATTATTTTTCCTTAAGAATTTGTTTGTAAGAAGAAGAAAAACATGGGAATTACAAATGTAAATTAATGTTATCTTTTCCCCCAATACATTTCATTTGAAGCAGAGTAATTATCTGGAGACTGAGAAGGTACATAGCTGTAAAGCCAAGACAAAAAAACTAATTAAACAGCATTCTGATGAGAACAACTACATATATCTAATATGCTTGGTCTCCAATCATTTCTCCCAAGAGTCACACTGAAAATTACAATTTAGTGCCAACTTTGGGAAATCTCCAGAAATTGCACTCCAGGTTTCTAGAAGTTATGTGAGGTCTTAGGGCCTGTCTCAATACGTTACTGACCTACAAGTGCAATAGATAACATGTTAAGTTTGTTTATTTTTCTACTGGGCAGGAAGAGCACAGTCTAAAAGTAGTTCTACATTCATTACCTTGTCATAATCAGACCAAATCTTGCTTTGAGATTTAGGCTTGCAGTGACTATTCTTTTCTACAGAGGTAAAAAATCAATTAAAATAGTCCATTAACATGGACTCATGTTCTGGGGATCTTTTTATAGTTTGGTTGGTACTCCTCTTAAAGAATTAGCTTTTGCTAAGATTGCTCATCTTCTCTTACAGTGTAGAACATGTTCAGCCTGTTAGCATCTTACATTAAGGCAGTGGGCTCATTGGAGACAACTAAAATTCTGTCTTCAGAATTTATACAGACAGGCTAAGTTTCTACAGTTGGCCTTCCCAGCCTTCCCAAACAATGCTAACATCTCAGATCTACTTCCTTCATTGAATTTATTTGTATTAAAATATAAAGCAATTCTGTATGCTGTGCATTTAGAATACTCTTACTGATAAAGCTGAATCTGCTGCACTTGATGCTTTGTTGGCTGCTGCTTCTGCTGCTCTAATAATATCAGTAATGTTCTCAAAAGTGTTAGCAGCTCCCACAGCACAGGTCACTATCTCGTTCTTGCTGGCATTCTTCTTGAGTCTGTATGGCGGGGGGAAGCCAAAATATAATACAGGTATCAAGAAAATTAAAATACTTTAGTTGATACTTTGGTTTTCATTAATTACTGTCAAAAGAAAGAAAGAAAGAAAGAAAGAAAGAAAGAAAGAAAGAAAGAAAGAAAGAAAGAAAGAAAGAGAGAGAGAGAGAGAGAGAGAGAGGGAGGGAGGGAGGGAGGGAGGGAAGGAGGGAGGGAGAGAGGGAGAGACAAAGAGAGAGAGAGATGGATAGTCTAGCACTTTGCTATTTTATTGAACACAGCATATTTTGTATGATAAGCTAATTTGAAATACTGTACTGCCATCTAAAGAAGAGACTATCATCAATTTGAAATAAAAACGAATCCATTCAGGAAATAGATTTTTTTAAAATGGAAATGTGTATAGTTTCATCCCTGATTATTTCTGGGAGGGATAGATGGGAATGGATGGGATTAACTAGGGGAGGGCATAGTCTAAACCAGTATTTGTTAAAGAACCCCTGGGCTCCCCCAAAAGTTCAGGGATTTGCAGAATCAATATTATTAGCCAAATATTGAAAATATTTGCAGAAATTTAAAACAATCTTACTCTTTTCATTATTTGGGCCCCTCTTCGGGAAACTTAATTATGCCTCCAGTACCTTAAATGTCATTCATCTCTACAGTACAGTATAGCAATCACCTTCTTCCTCTTAAATCAGTTTCAGTATAACTACATAGTTTACCTTTCCACCAGAAAGGAACCATAGTCCAATGTATAAAACACTTCAAGCAAGGAATAAACCATTCTATAACAATTTATTTACAAAACTGAAGACATACTCATCCAACTTTCTTGCCAGGTCTTGTAAAGAGTTAGCATACATTTCCGCTTTCACTACCAAAGGTTCCTTACTGGACGATAAGAATTGGTTCTTCAGTTTTTCATCCAGATCTTTCTTTGCTCCATCCAAATTGGCAGCTAGGCTTTCATATTCCTGGAATTAGAAGAGAAATTTATGAATTGTGACTAACATGCATTACACATCAATAAGAAATAAGTGGCAAGCTTTTGTTTGCTTTAATTTCTTATATAAACCCAAATAGCTCTGCATTTGAACACAATATGAAGATTGCATACAGCAGATGAGCTAGAGATGCCTTTTTTCATATGTGAGTAGTAACAGCTCCTATATTTTGCAAGCAGTTACTAATATCTACAAAACCAAGTTATTATGGGTAGTATATTCTTATTTTCATCATAATATGAATGTTATTTTCCTCTTTTCAGCCTTATAAAAGCATTAATTCTTTCAAATTTACCTCCTTACTCTTCTGGAACAATTCAAATATACTGTTTGTTTGAGACACCGATGCTTTAGCGGAATTCAGAAGATCCCATATGGTACTCTGTTGCCCAGTCATCTCTTCTGTCTGTTTCTGATAGAAAAATAAAAAGTGATTCCCCTTTTTAATGCAAAAGTAAGTTCTGTGGCATAGTATAATTACTATTTATATATTAATTTAAATATGATTTTTACATACTGCCACAATCATACGCAGACTCTTGGTAGCTCAAAGTATAAAAAGAAAAACAATAACAATAGAAATTTTCTAAAATAAAGCCAACAGACAATCCTAAACTCCAAAAGATTTGGTGTCAGCTCCTAAGTGCTTTCTGTTAAAGCTTTGTTTCAAAAGCTTCTATCAGCACTGAGGCCAAACACGTTTCTCATAGGAAGCCATTCCAGACGACTGGGCCAACAATGGAAAAACAACTTCCTGAAAATAGTGAAGGGCTACCAGCTGCTCTCCCAATAGTTGGGAATGGTTAAAATCAGTATGATTGGGGTGAAAGTGGCTGGGCTGATTCCAGAAGAGAAATGCAAAGCATTAGAAGGTCTGCAATTCAGCCAATATCTGACTCATAATCTCATTTGGTGATATGGTATAACATTTTTTAAGAAGGTGGAAATGTAGATCTGGTATAAAATGACAGTGGATCATGAGGTGTGAAAGCGAAGGGTTTTTCTTTTGAGCTATTTCCTCAGAAACATCTTCAGCAAATAAATAATCAAATTAAACAGAGGCATTAAGGTATCAGAATTCTCAGAGTCTGGGAAAGAAGAGAGAGGTTTTCAAAACATGGCAGCTAAATAGAAGACAGATGTGTCAGTCTCGCCACTTAAGCGAGATGTCAATCCATTTGTTAGGGATTCAGTGAGAAAGAAGTTCAAACAGTTCATCAACACTCCATCTTCATGTACCCACTAACAAACTAGGACTGGTCCATACTCTTCTAGTTACTAAAATTTTGTAACCTGGCATTAAACCTGATTTATGAGAATCTCTTTGAATTTTTCTCCCTTGGTCATATGCTGCTGTTAGGTGCTTAAATTACCAAACGTCTGGGTTCATATGGTCCTCAAGGACTTGAATGAGGTCCCTTTTATCCCCTAAAGTCAACCCACTTAGTGCATGATTTATTTATGCTTTGTCTTTCTGCATGGAGACATGGATATCAGAGGTGACGTTTCCATCCATTAAGCCCTGTGCCTAATGTGTCCTGCCCTGAAACGACAACTTTGTGGCTGAATTTAGCCCCTAGACAAGTCCAGTGCCTCACTCTTTCTTGCCTATTTTCAAAAGGAAAGACCTCCCACTTGAGGAGGTCTATTCTTTGAAAAGAGTCAGTTTGGCAACCAAGAGAAAATGCTATTCTGCATGAAACCTATCTTGTATTCATTGCTGAAGAGTTATTTCTTTTACTGAACAGTGATGAATATCTTAGGTATTTGGCAAGGAAACAGAACATGAAATAACAATTGTTACATGTCCGGGTATGATTGGGTCAGTCATGGTACTTGCAGGACAAAAAGAATGGGCTGGGGCATGCCAGATGACTAAACATTTGCTTAAATATGTCTTTAAGTAAACTATGTTATAGCGTTCTAAAAAAATAAAATAGCAAAAAAAAAAAAAACCATAGGAGAAATCTAATTCACAGGATCTTTTACAGAATTGTCTTGAAAAAGGTAACAGATCTATTAACACTTGCAATAGTTTTTACCAAATTTTCTCCTAATTATGGAACTTTCCCTATTTAATGCAACATGCATAAAGACCATAAGCCTAGATAGGTAAGTAGGTAGACAGGTAGAAAGGTTTACCTTAATCTCTTCCAAAAGGCGTTTATTTTCTCCATTTAAATTTTCAGCTAGCTTGGTTTGTTCCTTTGCCTCTCTCAAAGATTCATGAAGATCATTGAGCTTGGACTCATATTCATTTAGTGAATCTCTCACAATTTTAATGAGCCCTTGGTTGTTTGCTTTACGCTTTTCTAGTTCATTCCTTATTCGATCTAGCACTATGCAAAATGAATAAAGCGAAACAGGAATAAATCAAATATCCTATGAGCATTAGGTCGTTCAAGTCCTTTTATCTCACAGTCTTTCTATAAATTAATTTCTCATCAAGAAATTATTTTTAGTTGGGTAGATCACCTGGCCTAGTAAGTGTAAATATAGATAGGGATTATCCATCCATTCTGTATATTATTATATTTCCAAATTTTCTGTAAAGACTATATGACTGCAAAAGCTCAACTCAAGTCCTGAACTAGTTTCAAGCAGCAACAAAGTACAATATTTTTGAAGTGACTATTGGCAGTTTTCTTCATTATTAAACCACAACTACCTTCACACCCATCACAAACTCAGTGAGCATTTCCAGATAAGGCAGCAGTCTTTCTCCATCTGTTCCCACCTCATCCAATCAAGCCATTTCTACCCAAAATATTTAACGTGTATAGTTCTTACAGTGTTCGGCTTTCCCTTTTTCCTTTTCTGCTTCCGTTAGCTGTTGGCCAAAATTACGGCTTCTCATTTCATTGATCATTTGCTGAGCTTCCAGAAGCTGTTGTGCAGAGGGTTTGGTAGGCACAGAGGTTCCTTCTGTAGAAGTGCCGTCTATCTGTCCCAAGAGAACTGACAAGAAAAACATAATTTGAATAAATAAGAGACTTTTACCAAACCCTATTACAAAGATATGTGGTGTATTTTTAAAGTAGGATTGCAAACGTGTGCTCTTCAGTGGAGTTGGAGGTCTCTCCAGGAGTCACATCAGTTTGTGGGAATTTGTTAAATATATTTGTTAAATATATGAGAAATAACTACATTAATTATAATAGGTTTTGTCTTGCTTTGACCACTTCTTGGACTGGAGCCCTAGCAAACCAATCAAAAATCAGATAAAATACAGAACCTGTAAGCAGTTGCACACCCCTCTTTTAAATTTGAAAGGTGGAACTTTCCATTCAATATACTATAAGTAAATGATTGATAACATTCTAATTTATTTCAGTCGATAGAAACTGCCAATGTTCACAAGGCTTATCAAAACATTGCAGTCTTATCCATGACTTCTCAGAAGTAAAGTTAATTTAGCTAATGAGACTTACTCCTGAATACATGGCTCTAGAATAATAATATATCTTCCTTGATAGATGTCCCAGGCTGATCCCTCTCCTTTTAGTCATATGAGCAAGGTGTGACACTTTTATGTATTAAGAGGATAACCCACAAGTCAAAGATAAAAAGTCTATGGATATTATGGCTATCATGAAGGTGACAAACACATCCTTGGGGGAGGGAAATTGCCTCATGTCTTAAAACAAATGATTGGGCTGTTTTAGACAACTATTCTCCAATATCCACATTCTAGGGAAGATCGTAGAGAAGGTGGTAAGTTAGCAACTATCTAGAGAACTCTGGAAGAAATGGATTGTCTCTACATCATAACAGCTAGAATTCAGATCTGGGTATCAGAAGGAAACTGCAATGGTCAACCTAGAGCAGTGGTTCTCAACCTATGGGTCGCGACCCCATTTGGGGTCGATCGACCATTTCACGGGGGTCACCAAGCAAGGCTGTCCGCCATTTTTTCCCCTTTTCCGGCGGGTGCCTTACCTCCCTTGAGCTGGGCCAGCTGGTGGTCGGCCTGCTCCATCTCTGCCGCTTGCCAGCTACGCCTCAGCCGGCGCAGGGGGCGGAACCACACATGCACGGCGCTCCCGGGCAGGGAAATTCCCTGACTTACGGCTGATTGGGTAGTCCTCAACTTATGACTGGTTTAGTCCTCAACTTACGACTGGTTTAGTCCTCAACTTATGACCGGTTTAGTCCTCGACTTACAACCGGTTGGGGGTCGCAGCATTAAAAAGGTTGAGAACCACTGTCCTAGAGGATAACCTTTTAAAGGCCAGGGATGAAGGAATGAAACCCAGCATTGACTGGGGTATCCCTCTAAGCCAAACACAAGGGCTAAGGGATTCTCCTCCTTCTTGAGCAGCTACGTCCAGTTGGTGAGGCATAGAAATTGAATGCTTGCACACTGTATTATAGGACACTGCAGAACTCAGCCATTTCCCCTTATGATTTAACATTTAATTTAAGCTGTTAGAAGAGATCACTTGTCAATATAGGGTAACCTATCATCATTGGTATACAAATTCAGCGTTCCTGTATGCCTCTACTTTTGACAGGGCAGACAGGAAATGAAGGTCCTAACCCAGTGCTTGGAAGTGGTTAGGAAATAGATGAAAGGAACAGATCCAGGTTGAACCCTACTACAATGGCATAGTTGTAGATTTGAAACTATTCTGAAACCAGATATATTCTACCTATATGCTAGCTCTGGGTGGGGTCATACTCACATATACTGAGCTGGTTTACAATCTGGAAGTTGTCCTGGATTTTTAGCTCCTACTTGAACAGCATGTAGAGGGCAAAGCCATAAGACATTTTACAGAATACCCTCCGCATCTTTTCCTGGAGGTATTATGCACAAACATTTTGGGGGGGGGAGGGCTGCGTAAGGCTTTAAATAATTTCAATTGTTGTGAATAGAAGCTGCTTCAAAACTTTATTACTGCAGTGAAATGTACTGAGGAGGATAGTAATAAACATTTTTCACTAAGACTGACTTCAAAAACTGCTCCCAATGCTACTGCAATAAGGTTTTTAAACAGCTTCCACTGATGTAAGCAGAAAATGGTTAAAGCCTAAATGAAGTGTAAATATCCCTGTATGCATGAAAGAAAACAAATTGAGAACTGCCTGCTATGGTACTGGCGAATTATTTTGGTTCGCAGACTGATATAATTTCCCCAACCTTAATGTAGAAGAAAAGGCATTACTCTTACCCTTGATATGGATGAGAATAGATTGGATCTTTGAAATTAAAGCTCTTCCTCTTTGATTAGTTGTACTAAAATTATTTAAAAGAGTTTGTGCTTTCTTGTAATTATCTTCAGCCTAAGATAGTGAGTTAAAATGAGATAACATTAGTAAAAGTTTGATTTAAAAGTAGTTAATATTATAGATTTATTTGGGTGTTTATGTATCATCGTACTTCATTAACACATGTCTTTGGTAGACCAAAGGATGAATTTGGCATTTTTTAGCCATTCTTAAAAGATTTTTTTTTTAATGTATTCATTGCATAAACTTTACCAGAATTATTAAACAGACATCACACAAGGATAAAGATACAAAAGCAAAGGAACAGATAAGCAACTAATAATAAAACATGAGTAAAACATTATGGAAAAACAAGTATTGAAAACTTGTGAGAAATCTGCTTACTCAAGATAGAAATCAAAGCTTTGGAGGATAGATGCAACAAAGTATATTTTTCGGGGGAAACTCCTATGACGATCACCAAGTTTCTCACCAACAAACAGTGACAGAGAGAATACCCCAAGTGAAACACTTCTATAGATTTTATATCTCTGGTCAATTACATTAACAAACAGAAATATAAAAGAAATGATACAATTACAGGTAATCCTCGAGTTACAACAATTTATTCAGCAATTATTTGAAGTTAAGGCTGCACTAAACAAATGGTGCTTACAGATAGTCCTTGACTTACAGCCAAAACTGAGCCTGGAATCTCAATTGTTGAGTGAAGTGATCGTTAAGGAAGATGTCACATGACTGCCCATGTAATTGCTTTGCTCAACGACTGCAATCCTGGCACTCCTGGTTGTGGTTGTTAAATGATTATGAAGGTCACTAAGCTGACAGAGTACTAGATACAGAATGGGGATAGGGAGAGGCCCTGGGAGCTCCCTTTAGGAGCTGAAAATCCTCCCCGCTAAAATCCATGTAGAGTTTTCATCTCCTGAGTGAGAGATGTCAGGTGGAGTATGCACCAGGCTTCCCCCAGCCACCTGATGCAGCTGCACTGCCTTTCCTATTGTGTTGCCTCTCCACTCTCTGTTTGGATTTGGGTTCCCTCTTATCACTAATGGCTGGCTAAAAAAACTGCCTGCCAAAAGATGTCATTTCTCCTCCACACATGGAAGGGAATACCTTCGGCAGGATGCAGGAACAGAAATCAGATCTTCTGGATCTGAGCTGCATTTCTCCACCCCACACAATATGGACATTAGGGTAACATTTTGCCATTTATTGAAGATACCTTGAGACATGGTCTTGAAATACCTTGAAATACGATCAGTAAACACAAACTTTTATAAAAAGGCCATGGACTGATACCAACATGTATAAGATTTAAACACTTACCTTTTCTTTCAGAGAATTAATATTTTGATTAAGGTGAAATAAATTTGTCTCCATTTCATCTACCTTTGAACTTTGCGTTTTAATGACAGAACGAGAGTGATTCAACAGACTCTGAAAATAAAGGCAAAACAAAATGGGAATCAGCAAACTGAACACAAATACAATATGGAATTAGGAAAAATTCCAGAAAAGCGCTGAAATGAAACTTTACAAATCAGCTCCTACTGCCATTAGTAGATGAAGAGATTACTAAATTGTAAGACAGAATTCAACAGAAAAATGTTGCCTGGGTGTCCTGAGACTTGAAAGTCACAAACTCTGATAGCAATGAGGAAAAAGAAGGGAAATGTTAGAAATTCATCTGCAATGGGGCCAGAATAATGCATGGAATTTTAAACATGCTGATTTCAACAGCTTTAAAAATCTACCAAATTCTGTGTGGACAATGAACAATAGTGGATGCTCTTTATAAATAGCTGCAATTTCCTGTGAAATGATGCCTTGTTTATTTAAATGTATAATATTTCTATTTTGAAGGAAAGTCATAGGCTATGATTAACATTTAAATAAAATCAATGTCATAGCAATGTATTTAAAATTATAAGAAAAAACAGAAACAATAAGATCTTAGCAAGAGCAGAATCAAACATTTCTAATGTTATTTAGAAAGTTTCAATGATTTAGAAAGGTCCTGCTTTGCTAAATCAAAGCAGACAAAAGAATAGATGACTCTACCTGAGGATATTCTAAAAGGGAAGGGCTGCAATCAAAAAGATTGTTTCTCCAGCCTATCTTCTGCCTATCTTTTATGGGTAGCATGAAAGTGCTTTCAAAGATGAAATAATTCAGAAGATGTTCATATAGGAGAAGATAGAGTAGGTAAAGGACTTGGCTCCCAATCATGCATGGTCTTTATGAATTGTGCTTGGAAATGAATTTGCAGTTGATTTGACTATTCTCACAAGATATCTCAGATGGTAATTTTAACAGATGCATTTTCCCACAAAACTTTATTGAACTTCAACAAAAATATAAAATACAAAAATGAAAAAAAAAATAAAGTTGAAGAGAGGAAAGGGGCAGGGAAAAAGCAAAATTGGGGGTGCAGCCAAGAAGGAACAAAAAGCTGTAGAAAAGAGTAATTTCCAACTTTCTTTGGTACAGATTCAAGGATTGAATACAATGCTCCTTTGAACTAGAATAAAACATAGCACACAGTACTTCTGCAGGCATAAACAGTTCTAATCATCAAATCCCAAGGCTAAAAGTTCATTTATTTCCATTTCAAGCAAAACTTTAGCACTATGCTTTTGACTAACTAACCAGAAAAAGGCAATGGCAAACCATTTCTATACTGCTGCCAAGAATACATGTCCACGAAGTGAGCAGAAGTTGTGCAGGAATTGGGCTGAGTTAAATTTTAAAGAAGGCTTCTAAGACAGATGCATGAATAATACATTCCAACAGTCTAATCTGAATTGGCTGCTAGGGTCTTTCTTCTGAAGTGGCATTAGAAAGAGCAATGGAATGGATCACATCAAAATTCAGAATCATATTCCAGCCATATAAGAGCATTTAATATGACATTTCTAAAGCGCATTTCAGAAGTGTATTCAACCTCTGGAAAGTGTACCCAATCCCATGGAAAGCCAGTTTTTTTTTCAAGTTACCTCCAGTTGCTTGCTACGGACTTCCAGGTACTTCATCTGGCCCAGCAGTTGGGCACTAGTGTTGATACTTTGCATTTGAAATTCAATCACTCGGAGCTCACTTCCCATTGTACTCAAATCCTCCAGCAATGTGATTACACAACTCCCACAAGCTAAACAAAAAAGAGCACACATGAAAGAGTTTAAAGTGTTAGTTCTTGTATATTAAAAAAAAAAAAGAATGGGTCTACTGAAAACAATTATGGGACAAAAAGATATTTCCAAAAATTTTATCTGTTACTATAGCAAATAACAAAACTGTTCAAATGGTGTCATAAAACTATGTTTGTCATACAACTATACTGCTTGTCTGCACTATGTTACTGTCACAACAAACAATAAAACCATACACATGTAAGAGGGAAACCAAATCCTTGGATTCATTCTTTGTAGGTTCAACCTTTCCTAACTTGCTGCCCTCCAGATGTCTTAGATTACAACTTTTAGCATCATCACTGTTCTGTTCCCAGAGAAGAAGCATGGAGACGAAGTGGAGTAACAAAAACAGTCTTCTTTTATTGCAATTCACCAACAGAACAGAGAACAAAAATGGCGCAAGCCCTTTTATAGTCCTCTGGCAGAGACAGCATCAGCCAATCATTCCACGGCATTCTCCCGCCTTGTGCATGCGCACAAGGCTGGAGACAGTCTGTCTGGTCCCGGGCAACCACATGGTCTGCCCGGGCCTTTCTGCAGCTTTCCTCAGCCTGCTGAGTCATTCAGCAGGCTCAGGACATAACAATCACCATTAACAGAGAGATTCCCTCTCATTACTAGGGGTTTAGATAACTTGTTCTGAATAGACCTATTATCCACAAGAAAACAGCAGATTTGTTCTTTCTAATCTCTCAAAACATAGTTCTTTATTAGTGCTACCACGTTTTCCCGAAAATAAGATTGGATCTTTTTTTTTTTGTGTCCAGAAGAGGCACCAGGTCTTATTTTTTGGGAATATTGTACTCACCTCCGGCACTGACAGCCCCGCCCAGCCGGTCCACTCCTTCTGGGGCCGAAAGAGCAGCTTCATTCTGCAGCTGCATTTTAGCCTGCATTTTGCAGTCAGGCTTTTCCGGAAGGCCTCTGCAGCCGAATACCTTGTAGAGTGAATCCATAGCTCGGTTCTTGGCTGCACAGGCCTTCCAGAAAGTCCTGACTCAGAAATGCAGGCGTGGCTGCAGAAGATGCCGCAGAAGAAGTGGGCTGGTGAGGAGAGGCCCGGCTGCAAGGTAAGTGGGGGCGGGGAGCAGATCTACACCCCTACCCTTGCCCTAGCTTGATTTTTAAGTGTGTGCCTTGCCCCAAAACTAGGGCTTATTTTGGGGGTAGGGCTTATATTAGGTCCACCCCCAAAATCAAGCTAGAGCTTATTTTTGAGGTAGGCCTTACTTTCAGGGAAACACGGTATATAAGCAAGTTTTCAGACGAAATAAGGTTTATAACTTACAATTACAATCTTCATTTGGATCTATGTCTTTTGGTTCTTGGCTGATGCATTCTGGAAATTAAAAGAAAAAAAAGAGGGAAAAAAGTAGAATTAAGGATGCAACAATTATAAGGTGTGACGTTCTGAAATGTCAGAAAGCATTGTGTTACTGATGCCCTGCACACTCCATTGAAAGCTGCACATTGTTAAGCAGGTAAAAACATAGGTAACAAGTTCCCTAGAATCAATATTGTATTTTTTAACTTTTTTCTTTCTTTACTTAATTTATATGCCTCCCAGCTCACTCTCCACAGTGGGAAGCTTGCAATAAAAATACATTAGAAAGGAAGTTTACAGGATCTTGTAGGGTTCTCCCCAAAATTAAATTTACACATTGCTTTCTTGTTTTTTCTCAAATAACAGCTTCAACTAATGTGAACAAATTCTACCATGACATTGGGTCACCCTGCTGGGCTCTTCAGAAATCCAAGGCATTATTTACTAAATCTCTTAGCAGGGAGGAAAGCAAGGTAATTCAAGGACTCCTGAACTCATCCACTGATTTAACTTGTTGAGCTCAGAAACAAAAGATGTGGCATTAAATGGTAAAATATAATCAAAACATTCAATCAAAACAACCATATTTATGGTAAAATATAATCAAAACATTCAATCAAAACAACCATATTTATGGTTCTTGGTAACATTACATTTAGCAGTGTTTTGAGCTATTCCTGTACAACTCCTTCCCTTATTAATCAGGGAAGGGTTTGGGTTAATGCAGGTGTCCACACTGTGGCTGTCTCTTCCGCCAGTATAATTCTATTATCCCAAGAGGAGGAATACTGGCCTCTAAAGGAGTCGTGCTGTCAAACGATTGCTGGCTGCCAAGTCTTTAAAAGACCTTTTCAAAACAGACTCCTCTTCCTATACCCCAATTCAGTCCATAGCATGATACAGTGATGAAATACTATAAAATATAATAAAGGTACTCACAACCACAATTGAGCCCAAAATTTATGTTGCTAAGCAAGACATTTGTTAAGTGAGTTTTGCCCCATTTTACGACCTTTCTTGCCATCGTTGTTAAGTGAATCACTGCAGTTGTTAAGTTAGTAATATGGTTCTTAAGTGAATCTGGCTTTCCCATTGACTTTGCTTGTCAGAAGGTTGTAAAAGGTGATCACGTGACCACAGCACACTGCAACTGTTATAAATATGAACCAGTAGCCAAGCATCTGAATTTTGATCACGTGACCATGGGAATGCTGCAACGGTCATAAGTGTGAAAAAATCATAAGTCATTTTTTCAGTGCTGTTGTAACTCTGGACAGTCACTAAACAAACTGTTGTAAGTCGAGGACTATATACGCAGCACAATACTTATATCTTGTGATTTCTTCCGACTTCGAATATCACCTCATCTCATTAACTTCAACCTCCAAGCTAATGCAGTTTTGCAGGACAAGCAAATACAAAATTTGAGACCTATCCTGCAAATATTGCTATTGAAGATTAAGTAGACCAGTTTTCTCAACCTCAGTAATTTTAAGATGTGGCCTTGAACTATCAAATTTCCCGAGCCAGACTGAATATTGAAGTACTCTATCACTTTTAATCACTTTTATCTCTTGACACATAAAGAAGAGTACCAATTAAATATGTCATGTCATTGGCTAATAGGAATGAGAACATCTATGTAATTCTATGTAATTATAGAATTCAATAAGCTACTGCATGGCCACAATTAAACTAAGACTCAATACACTTCAGCAAAACCACAATGACATCAGGATTTGCTAAAGCAACTGCATCTAGACTGAACTTGTTCTAGCAACTGTTAGTTTAAGCAGCAGCACAGCACTTTAAAATATGTTGTTTGAAATATATGTACCTACTTATGTAATTCTAGTAGTTTACATAAAAGAATTGGGAAAATAACATTGCCTTGAGATGGAAAGCATAATATATTCAAATAAAACATATATATTTCAAACATTTCAGAGACTAGAACTGAGAAATATCTGCAAGTCTCAAAACAAAAGTCAAATATGTGTCCTTGGCAAGTGAAATTTTCTCAGACACAGGCCTGGCTATGTATCCTTGGGCTCGCCTTTGGCTCTGGTTGAGGAAAGTTTCTTGTTGGTTGGGAAACAAGTTCCAGTAGCTCTTGTATATTCTTGTTCTTTTGGGTTCCGTGGTTCAGCTCCCTGCTTTCTTGTTCATCTCTAACAATTGCCTTTGACTCAGACTTGAAATGTAAGTCCTCCTGCATCATTATATGGGCTCCAAGTCTGACATCTCCTCTGAGTAATACAGAGTGCATACAATGCATGCTGAGTAGCAAATCTGTCGATCTTTAAATGTTGCCAAAATACAACATCCTACATAGAAATAAGAGCGCCAATCCAGCAAATTGAATTCAAAAATCAAACTGCAAAGCATCAAACTCTATAATACCTGTATGTATTAATTAGCAAGCACTAAGTAAGTGAGCCACAAATCTGTAATGGTATGTGGGAATGACTTTGGGAGTTTGGGACCAGAGTCGCTGTCTAGGGAATGGTCATTCCCACATACCCTACATAAAGGGATACATTAAAGTGACATTATAAGAATATTGTTGATAGACTAATATTTTCTTTTAGATAAAATTATATATTTTAATTAGTTTTTCAGATATATATATATATATATATATATATATATATATATATATATATATATATATATATTATAAAATGGTTATTTCTTTTTCTATTATCATCCATTAATGATTTTTTTTATACCAAACTTTATTCTGATTCAGAAATAACTAAACAAAGCTAAAGAGAGACACATTATTGAAATCAACTGAAATCAACTGGAATAATTGATGCTATACATAATCATAGAATGCATTTAAGATTGCTTTAATTCTGCTGGTAGTTGTGTTGTTAAAAAAAGACCCACAGAATTAGGCAATTTTACATTTGGAAATTCAAATTAAAACCTTCAGCATCTTTCATTACTGGCCATGTAGGTTGACGCTGCTGGAAGTTGTAGCTCAACAATATCTGAATATATTCCCAGTGCCTATTGTTCAAGTTTATCTTTCTTGAAACTTTGAAACAATCAACATTAAAATTGTATAGAAGACATTCATAATTCATGTAGATCTCTAAATTACCTGAAGGCAATGAGCAATGAAATCTGTAGGATGTAGGACACATAAATCTGGATCATGCTGTTTAAACATTAACTAACACATTTAATTACTTCATTAAAACCACAAATGTGTAAAGCAGTTTTTTCAAATACAGAGGAATTACAGCAGCAGCCAGTGGGTCTTGGGACTTGTACTTCAGCAACATCTGAAGAGCTAGACTTTTCTCATTCTTATACTAGTCTATCATTTGTAGTAAGAATGAACAGCTATAAGCACAGAATTGAAAAAATATAACTTTTATTTGCACAGGAGTCTCCCTGGTAGACTATTTTCAAATATTCCATGGTTTCCTTTTTAATATTATTCAGAAATATTTGTGTCACTTTACATACCCCCAGTCAAGCGATCGCATTTTGTGAGCTGGCCATTCTCCAGGCAATTACATTTTTGACAGTATCTGTATTTCAATGGATTTCCAAAATAACCAGGAGCACAGCTGCAAAATAAATTAATGAACAAATAAAACACGCAAGTGATATAAATCACCTGACACTGAAAAGGTTTCTGCTGGCTTAAAAATCTGCATCACATCCATAAATTTTAACAATTTGTGTTACAATTGTCTAACCTGACCAAATAATAGATATTGCTTTTTAGATTTTAATTGTATCTCTAATTTGATAAGCCTTATACAGAGACAGTGCAGTCCAAAAAGATATTTGACTTATTTGATATCATAAGAATCTGAGCACACTTAGCTTTCTGTGGGCTGCATCGATACTTCATACAACTCTTCAGATTTAAAAACATCAGTGAATACAGTATCTGCATCTAATGCATAATTGGGCACTAGTGCAATTTATTTCAAAGAACATGAAATTAAATAGTCCTAAACGGGATGAACAGAGTATTCTGAAATTCTGAATCAAGGAGAGCAGCTTATGCTTACTAAAGAGAGCATTGTGTGCATATGAAGCCTTGTAGCATTTTGGACTCCGGCCCAATCATGAAAATATGGTCTCTGTTTAGAAAACAATCTTTTCCAATATGTTAGTAGTTTCCAGTTGATATCTGTTTTAACTTTCTACATAGTAAATCAGTATTGAGACAAGTCATATACCTTTCACAATGCTTTCCAGAATAGCCTTCTTTGCAAAAACATTGAATTTCTCCATTATCTTCCAGACAGCCAGAAGCAAAACTACATGGTAAAAAATACAGGAAACATGAAAAATCTGAAAATAGCTTTTTCTTTTTCTTTTAAGGCATATTTATACAGCTTATGGGGAAAGGAAAATGTAAGGGCTATGTTACTGTCTGAACATCAAATAAAAGACTAACAAAATAATTTCAGTCTCAGACAAGTTGCAACTATTTTTGCTCATACAACATTCCCTATTACCTTTTTTTTTTTTTTTTGCAAAATCAGAATGCAGTCCTACAATCCTGAAAACATATTGCAAAATGTGCAATAATAAATTAGGGAATAAAAAAGACAATTGGATTATATTTTATTATTGAACAGTAGCTGAATCTGCATGTTGACCTGGGAAATCTAAATATCTCCATTTTATAAGTTTATAAGTTGAAAGGATAATTTCCATGTTCATTAGATCATTGAACAATAAATAAAATGGTGTCTATATCTAATAAAGAAAATTATTACTTTTCTTTACTTTAATGTTACTCCACTTTAATGTGAAGAAAAGCAAAGTTACTCCACTTTAATGTGGAGAAAAGCAAAGTTCTACATTTAGGCAGGAAAATCAAAGTTATAAGTACAGATTAGGTGAGATCTGGCTCAAAAACAGTAACTGTGAGAGGGATCTTGGACTTGACTATGAGCCAGCAGCCAAAAAAGCTAGTACTGTCCTGGATTGTATAAACATAGGCATAGAATCAAGATCATGTGAAGTATTAGTACCGCTTTATAAAAACTCTAGTATGACCACACCTGGAATACTGCAACCAATTTTGGTCACCATACTACAAAAAAGATATTGAGACTTTTAAAAAAGTTCAGAGAAGAGCATCTAAGATGCTTGACGTGATGGCCCGTTGCCTGGAGGCCGTACGGGTCTGGATGGGAAGGAACAGACTCAGACTCAACCCTTCCAAGACCGAGTGGCTGTGGCTGCCGGCGCCCCGGCATAGTCAGTTGGTTCCATCACTGTCTATAGGGGGCGAATCCTTGGCCCCCTCAGAGAGGGCGCGCAATCTGGGAGTCCTCCTGGATCCACNAGTAGTTTCCAGTTGATATCTGTTTTAACTTTCTACATAGTAAATCAGTATTGAGACAAGTCATATACCTTTCACAATGCTTTCCAGAATAGCCTTCTTTGCAAAAACATTGAATTTCTCCATTATCTTCCAGACAGCCAGAAGCAAAACTACATGGTAAAAAATACAGGAAACATGAAAAATCTGAAAATAGCTTTTTTTTTTTCTTTTAAGGCATATTTATACAGCTTATGGGGAAAGGAAAATGTAAGGGCTATGTTACTGTCTGAACATCAAATAAAAGACTAACAAAAATAATTTCAGTCTCAGACAAGTTGCAACTATTTTTGCTCATACAACATTCCCTATTACCTTTTTTTTTTTTTTTTGCAAAATCAGAATGCAGTCCTACAATCCTGAAAACATATTGCAAAATGTGCAATAATAAATTAGGGAATAAAAAAGACAATTGGATTATATTTTATTATGGAACAGTAGCTGAATCTGCATGTTGACCTGGGAAATCTAAATATCTCCATTTTATAAGTTTATAAGTTGAAAGGATAATTTCCATGTTCATTAGATCATTGAACAATAAATAAAATGGTGTCTATATCTAATAAAATTATTACTTTTCTTTAATGTTACTCCACTTTAATGTGAAGAAAAGCAAAGTTACTCCACTTTAATGTGGAGAAAAGCAAAGTTTTACATTTAGGCAGGAAAATCAAAGTTATAAGTACAGATTAGGTGAGATCTGGCTCAAAAACAGTAACTGTGAGAGGGATCTTGGACTTGACTATGAGCCAGCAGCCAAAAAAGCTAGTACTATCCTGGATTGTATAAACATAGGCATAGAATCAAGATCATGTGAAGTATTAGTACCGCTTTATAAAAACTCTAGTATGACCACACCTGGAATACTGCAACCAATTTTGGTCACCATACTACAAAAAAGATATTGAGACTTTTAAAAAAAGTTCAGAGAAGAGCATCTAAGATGATCAAAGGCTTGGAGAATAAAACATATGAAGAATAGCTGCAGGACTTGGGTTTGGCTAGTCTTAAAAAAAGAAGAAATAGGGGTGACATGATAGCAGTATTCCAGTATTTGATGGGCTGTCACAAAGAAGAGGGGGTCAAATTATTCTCCAAAGCACCCAGAGGGCAGGACAAGAAACAATAGTTGGAAACTAATCAAAGAGAGAAGCAACCTGGAATTAAGGAGAAACTTCCTAACAGTGATGACAATTAACCAGTGGAACAGCTTGCCCCCAGAAATCATGCGCGCTCCATCACTGGAGGTTTTTAAGAACAGACTAAACAGTCACTTATCTGAAATACCAAGGTTCTTGTGCTTGACCAGGGGGCTGGACTAGAAGACCTCCAAGGTTCTATTCTATTCTATTCTATTCTATTCTATTCTATTCTATTCTATTCTTAGTCTTCAATATTATCAGGACGATCTGTGGCCTTCCTGAAATGGCTGCATTACAACCCCCACAATTGTTCCCCATCAGTTATAACTAGCTGGAGATTTTAGCAACTAGAGTTCAAATAACATCTGGAAAGTCATCTTCTAGCCATCTCTGTTATTGCCCCAGTTCCCTTCCTTTTTTGAAATCAACAGCATGGAATCAGGGAGAGCTCAGTAGCAAAGATGTGGTGCTCTATGCTAATCAAGCAAATATAGGCCTTCCCTAAAAAAAATGAAGGTTTTGCTCATTACAGTATGTAGCAAATACAATCAAGTCTTTTAAGTGCTTGTAACAATGGGGAAATTAGCCTTTAAGGTATCACAACATTATTTTGGTTTTATTGAAATGAACTAATATGGCAAACTTTCAGTTTTCAATATTGATTTCAGTTTTCAATTTTCAATATTTATGTTTTTTATTTCTATTATGTTTTAATGCACTCATCGTATTCAAAGTAGAAGACACACAAGAAATGTTCGTTGTATTTGGCGAAATAAATGAGTAAAAGCAATGAACTTGCTTTAAATATATTTTAAATTAATACCAACTAAATAAAATATATTTTAGGCCAAACTAGTTGCCAAATTGTAGTCCGAGTCTTTTGCACCATGAATTTCTTTTAAAGTGGACTGTAGCTGCGATGATGCAGAAAAAATGTGTTCTCTCCTGTCTCCTCCTCAAGCTAAATTCCTCCAAAAGTGCAGATTTACATTTCAACAATGCCCACTTAGGATGTTAGTTAGCAATTATGGTAATTATGGGGATTGATGCCCAGCACATCTAGAGGGTACCAATTTAGTAAAGGCTTTATGAAGGTCATGAGTCACACTGCAATAGAGCTTTTAAAAAATATAATCCAATAGGAGATCTGATCCAAGGTCATCAATATCTCATTTGAAATGGCTACTTATTTGTGGTAAATGCACTTAAAATTAGAATTTGTGGAAATTGCTTTATGATTTTTTTCTTTACAGGGAATTTCTTATTTTATTTTTTATGAAGATGTTCAAGATGAGTGACCATTGTCATCTTACAGTCCATGCATAACAAGCCGCAATGACACCAAAATTCTATCATTTGTGCTTCATAACATTATTGCACAAATGATAGAATTATCTAATAGCTGTTTTTACTGTCATAAAAACACAGTATTTCCACCAGGGCAACTTTGAGCAAAGCACAATAAATACAGCTTCCCATTCTCAGCCCAACAGAGTACCTGTTTGTATAAGGGCAGTGACATTCCTTACAAAGTCCTTGACTGGCATCTCGAAAGTATCCTTCTTTACAGCGCTCACACTTTTCTCCAGCAGTATTATGTTGACAGTTCTTTTAAACAAATATATATATAAAACCAGAAGGTTAGCAGTTGTCTTGTTTTTCAAGTTTATTATTAATACCAATGTGAGAAAATGACAATTGATATGCTCCAAGCCACCACATATTTACCTTATTGCAAGACTGAACAAATAAATTAGACCCAGTTAGTGTCTGGCTAAAGGGTGTGCATACAATTGTTTGCTGCTTAGTTGCAGAAGTAATAGCATAATATTAATGACACAGAGGGTCACACATTATTAATTTAAAGTAGCAGGTGTTTCACAATTAAGATACTCTTGGTCGAAAGTGATTTAGCAGTTATAATAAAGTTTACTTTCACCTAGCTTGTAGGTTCTCTTAATAAATAAATTACTCTGATACTTTGATCATCATCTTAGCTTGCATAGATTCATCGCTTAAAGCAATGGGAGTATAGCTCACCAGTAAAAGACCAATTGGTCTCATGAGGTTTAAATATTCTTACATTTATACAGACTGATCTATGTAACTTGTTGATACGTATTTTTATTTATTTGTATCCCATCTGTATTATTTTTACAAACAACTCAAGGCGGTGAACATATCCAGCACACCTCCTATTTTTCCCCACAGCAACAATCCTGTGAAGTGGGTTGTGTGACACTGACTGGCCAAAGTCACCCATCTGGCTTTCATGGTTAAAGTGGGACTTAAAGTCACTATCTCCCATTTTCTTGTTCAGTGCCTTAACTATTAGACCAAACTAGCTCTTATATGATAGCTTAGAACAGGGGTGTCAAACTGCCAGCCCGCGGGCCAGATGCGTCATGCTGAAACCGCACCCACCCCACTGCCGGCAATGGAAAAAAAGTTGTGATACGTTGCGACACGTCATGTTGCGAATTTGACACCCCTGGCTTAGAAGGACTGGAAAAATGAAAAGCTGCCCCACCAACATGGATATTAAACCCTACTACAGTATTAATCATCAGTCCTACTCTCCTGATATTAATATCATTCCTCTGTCATAATACATCAGTATTAGGCACTGGGCAGCAAGGAACTTTATGGTGTTTAAAACTATATGACTCCCTATCTTCTGGGTCCATGTATTTTCTATCCATATGAACAGTTCTTAGTCTACCTGCTACTAGTTGATTAAATTATTTACCTGTGATCCTAAATTTATTATTGCTTTTTATCTAGAGGAAAATATAATAACACCTTATATTTTTTTTTAAATCTCATTCAGTGTTGCATTTCTGAATGGAAAGGAAGACTTAATTAACAATGCTAACTAGCTACCCAAATAGAATGCATGCTATAAAAACTGATTGCAAATATGATATTTATCTAATACGCAGTATGAATAACCATTGGGGCTACCAAATCTGGATTGCAAAATAAAAAACAGACAATTACTAGATCACTTCTCTATGCTACCATTTAGGAGTCATGTGGACTTGTGCCACCCAATCTGGTAGCTCTGATGGGCATTAATGATAATTAGAACAATACTGAAAAAGTTAATATTTAGAAAATTCTTGTCTTAGGGCAATGTACATTATCTAGCTCTTGCTGGTTGTATTTGCTTGTTATGGCCTGTTCCTCAATTGAAATGCCTTATGATTCACACCTATTTGGAACAGTCTGATTTGGCGAACAGCTCCTACATTTAAACTCAAAAGGGTTTGTCAAAAACAAAGTCAAAAAAAGTATCGTGCAATTTCAAAGAACTCTGTGCGGGCAATGAATAATGAGTAAGTATGAGCAAAAAAAATGTGGGCAAAGAAAGGCTAGGCTGTAAATGTATTTACTTAAGAAAAAAGAATATTTTTTCAGTATAGTATACTATAGAGAAAAAGGCAATGAAATATTTTACAAGTCTAGTATGCAAAAAAAAAAAGCAAGCCTTAGAACTTTTATTCAAAAAGTATTGTCAATCATGCTCCTTTATACATATTTGCTTTGATTAACTAATTTCAAAAGGAAATTATACCAAAAAACAACATTGCTGTGTAAAGATCACATGTCTGGGTAGATTAACTTTAAAGTTCCTTTACCTATGCTTATAAATAAATCCTGCTAATGTTTACTCTTTGGTGAGAACTGCTATTACATTCCATGGCTGCATATTTATGACTGCAGCTTAATGAGCAAAACAAGTAAAATGAAACAAGTTTTAAAGCTGGCTTAACATCCTGGTTTATTTCATTATTCATTGCTCAGATAGATCACGAAACCCATAATTAACATGACTCTTCACAGGAAGAAAAGAGTGAAGTGATCTAGCATCTGATCATATCTCAGCTTGTAAGTTAAGTTAACTGTGCACAAGTGCAACCTTGGTAACTCTTGTTGAAAGAGAAAAAAATATGAAATGCAGGCAAGCACAGCATGTGAAGACAATTCATGCTTCAAAGCTAACAAACTTCTGTGGACATTTTTGCTGTAATAGATATGTCAGTTTTTACTGTACCTCAAAGACATTTCTATTTTTGCAGGCACAAGCAGTTTCTCTCAAAGTTATTACTGGCCTGAAGCAAAAGAAATTAATAAGAGCACCTGCAGCAGCATTTGTTGTAAATACTTACAATACAAATTCCAGAACCATCCAGGCATTTATCTGAATTTCCATTACAATTGCACAGAACACACCTTCCTGTAAATAGACCCACACTCTCACGATAGAATCCTGGACTGCATTCCTGGTGCATAGAGAAGAAAGGAAAAGTTGAATAGTGATTTGATAAGATTAGAAAATTAATTCTTTTAAAGTAGATATTGGAAGGTAAAAGAAATTTAATTATGGTACAGGATCACTGACATATTAGTACATATTACATAATGAATATGGACAAGTCACAATAAATTACAATATCTTGGCTTAATAAGATAAGATAATGAGACTTTATGGTTCTGCATACAAATTCTGCCTTCTTTTCTTCAGCCAAGCTGGTGAACAAGTCAGGAAATCTTCTAGTTTCTACAAGAGGGGTCCCCAACCCCTGGTCCATGGATCGGTACTGGGCCGCGGCATGCCAGCAACTGGGCTGCACAAACAAGCAAAGCCCTATCTGCAGGATGCAGGCAGCACACAAAACCACACCCCCTCCGGTCCGCGGAAAAAACTCTCTCCATGTAACCAGTCCCTGGTGCCCAAAAGGTTGGGGACCTCTGTTCTACAATGTCCCTTTTCATCCAGATATTAACCATAACCACTGGATAATTCAGGCTATTAAGCAAATCTTACAAAGAACTGTAATCAGTGGAAGACTTTTTAGTTTGCTTGATTGCTCCCAGGAAGGGATTGTATGCATAGCCAAAGCTTATTTACACCTCTACTTATTATATAAGATATGATTGAACACAAGTAATATTAATTTCAAAGCCCATGAACTACCTGAACACTGAAAATGTAATTGTACATATTAAATTACAGAGGTTTGTCAAAAAATATTTTATGAATTCTATTACTACATTGTTGATTTGATAGCATACTGTATATTTCATTTGCTATTCAGAATACTCTGAGATATATGTGCACTATTCATTAATATCTTTCAAGCATACAGCAATTAATTTCCAAAGTATTGCTATGATGGCAGTATATTGATTACTATCTTGGACTGAAAAACTTTGGGGAAAATTGTAGACTGTATTTTTCAGCTTGTGGAGAAAAGATGGATGGAAATAATAATAATGCAAATCCAGCCTAAACTGATGGACAGTGCACTGAACCATATTAAATACTACATGAATCCATGTTCTCTCTGTGCATACATACATGGGAGAAACACCTCAGTGTCACCTCCCATTGGACTTGTCTTTGACCTCTGACTGATTATGGGATTTAACTAAAGTGCCAAAAGCCACAAAAGTTGCAGACCACTGGACTGAGGATTGCCCCAGAGAAAGATAGGCCATTCACACACACACACACACACACACATCTTAGTCATCTCATGCAAGAATGCCACATCCATTAATTAAAATATCTTTGATAATTTATACATTATAGTCTAGTAATAATTTCTAAAACTAAATGTCTTTCATAAATTGAATGAAAACTGGTAGAAACAATTCAGAAGAATTTTTTGTCATCATCTCCATAGTTTTTGTGACACTAGATTATTCTCATCAAAAAAGGCAAGAAACTGCCTCTAACGCAGATTCATGTATTCTCTTTGCAGCCTCTGCCTTGCCTATAATTCTACTCCACAAGTGTCTAAGCACATGTTTAGTAGGCAACTGGATACTAAAGAAAGCGATAAAGCTGTGTAGGAGACAATTTTAGAGGGAAAGCTGCAGGAAAAGCAGTTGTTAAGAACCCCTCCTTTCAACATCTCTGCTGCAAACCATCTG